AATATGCTTTTCAGAGATCTGGGTTTCCTAGTAATTTAGGCTCTAGGTTTTTGCAAGGCTTTAGGCCCTTACACGGTTTTCTTGCTTTGTAAGAACATAAAGTGAAACGGCGTTAGCTCTTATCTAAAGATAAGATATTTTTCCGTATCTGTGAACCGCAAGGCTTGTTATGCTGCCAAAGAAGGGCATCACATGAGTTTGACACAATTTGTTCTTGACTCACTTATTTTATCTGCTGCATATCGATTTCTTGCCTTCTCTAGCCTTACAAATAACTTCTTTTTCAGTATCTTTCCTGGAGTTGAAAGTAGTCTAATGGCTTTCTCATTTGTTTGGTGGTAATCCAGGATGATTTGGCAGCAAATCTAGGAAGAGCTAACTCGTTGTCTAAATTCCTGTTTACTGTTGGTAACCTCTTCTTTTCCTGTTCTGTTTTGTCACTGCTGCTAACTTAATACCGTCTGTAATGTTTTCTTTTTCTTCAGGAAAGCGTTAAAAGAATTAGACTAATGAATTCGTCACCAAATGATAACGCGTCTGCTTTCTATGGAATAAATCAGTTTTCTCACCTGTTTCCTGAAGAGTTCAAAGGTACGTTATTTAGCTGCTGCTAATATGTTTTCTACTATTTTTGTTACTCTATCCTTGTTACTTGTATCTGTCACGTTTACAGATTATTCCAGTGCTAATCATCAGCTAGTTTACAGTGTCTGGTACGAAATTGCAAGTACTTCTGAAGGGTACAACAGTCCTCTTCGTATTCCTCAGGTCTGGCAAGGCTGAATTTTCCAGAGCCTGAATTTGATTTAGCAACCAGCTATCCATTCTGTCGTTCTTCTCAATGAGCCTTAAAGCCTCCTTCCGTTGCGACAGTTTTGGAGCTGGAAAGTACTCAACAGATTCTATTCATTTTGCCTTTCCCAAGAGAAAATCAGCTACAGCCCAACAGATGATTGGAGATCTGAAGCTGTACAATGATGGCTACGACCTTCAGGAGCAATCTGTCAAGTTTCACTCTTTTTACTAAGAAAACTTGCCTGATGCCTAACCTTATCTTCCTTTTTTGCAATTCAAGTCTATTGTTACGTGCCCTATTCATCATGGAGATTCCATTTTTTTCTTTTAATTTAAAGAAAAATTAATTAAAATTAATCTTTTAATTTTCTTTTAATAATTAAACTGTTCTTTAGTGAAAAACTAAAACTGTATATTTCAGACTCTTTATATAATTGTCTTTGTTTTTCCCTTTTTACTTGACTAAAAAAAAGGGATACTTTCCTAGTAATTAAAATATTCTGAAAATTTCTGAACAAAACTTGCTTTGTGTAATAGTTACAGGTTTTGGATCAATTCTAATAAGTCTAGACAGCTTGTACTCACATTCCATGCATGGAATATTTCTCTCCTTTCTATCACTGTAGGAATACTTAAAGTCATTGTAGAGTATAATTATTATTTTAAAATACATGAATTTCTCTATACGTTTGAGAATGAGATGTAATCTCAAGCTGATTGTACCTATGGATCAAAGTTAGCTTTCTGGCTTCTAATAAGCATTGTTAATTTTTTAAGTTGGTAGATTTATAGATGTCTGTATTCTGTGTTTAGCTATTTACTTAAGAAGCATACCTCACAAACTTCCCAGATACATAAAAGTGCCAAAGGGGAAGGAAAAGCCTTTGCCAAAGAAGTTTGACTGGAGGGACAAGAAAGTCATTGCAGAAGTGAGAAATCAGCGAACAGTAAGTCCTGACGTTTTCCCTTCCTGGTTTCCAGGTGCTGCTCAGACACTGTTCCAGCAGGTAGGTTGCAAAGCAGAGTGAAGGTTTTGGAAGGGGTCAGCACAACCTCAGGACTCCTTGGAGCACTGGCACAAGTATAGCTGGTTGAGCATGTACAAAGTGACCCTGCATTTTATGCAGAGTGAGATTATGCTTAGAAACAGAAGATGTAAAAGTTGTGCAATTATAAACTGTGTATGTGTAATAGAATTCTGGATCTAGTTAGCTAAATCTGCTAATATTTGTATCGTGATTGATGTGCGTTTTTCTGGAGAGACCAAGATAAGTTCAGTACCTGACCTCAATTCCCTGGGTGACCTAGATTGGTATAGATCCCCAGGAGTGGTTTTCTCGCACGATGGGCTGCCCTTAGCAGGTCAAGATCCCTGTCTTTCACAACTGATACCTCAGGGGTACACTGATGAGAGTAAGATAACCACAGCCCAACTGATTCAAATTTATTTCAGGGTAGCTACAGTCACCTGATTACTTTTTAGTAGGGTAAGACACAGATGACCTGTAAATTCCTGATGTCTTTCTTTTGTGCTGCATAATGTAACCTGGACCTCTCATAGGATTACATTCCACTTTCTGTGTTAAACCCCACAATTTAGAGATCTGAGAAGTGCAACATAGATTCTGTCATCTCAGAATTTTTCTGTTATGTTTAACTTCATCTTACGGTGTCTCAAATCATAATATATTTCTACTAAATTTTTCAAACTGTTGAAAATTGTAGAGGTGTTTCCTTAAGTGCATCCCTTCCAAAATGTTGATGATTGTGGTTAAATAGTAACTTCATCCTCAGCCTCAGTCTTGCCTTAAGAAAATGCATGTCTCACAATAAAAAGCTTCCTCAATCCAGACTTAAAGGGCTGTTTTAATTACAGTAAAAATGAGTCAGAAAAGAAACCTTAAAATAAGACGTCCATAAAGCATTTCTAATTTTCACAAAGTAGCACAGGAAAAAAAAAAAGTCCAATATTTTAAAAGACTGATTCCATTGCCTTATTATTGCCCTAAAAACATAGTTCAGGTATGAGGTAGTAAATAAAGAGCATTAGAGGACTCTTTTTTTTTTTTTTTAATACCATGTTTCAAAACCCAAGCTGACTTATCATTTCTCCCCTTTCCTCCTTCTGTCTGCCCCAGTGTGGAGGCTGCTGGGCTTTCAGTGTTGTGGGTGGTATAGAGTCTGCCTATGCAATTAAAGGAAATAATCTGGAAGAACTCAGTGTACAGCAGGTTATTGACTGTTCATACAATAATTACGGCTGCAGCGGTGGATCCACTATTAGTGCTTTGAGCTGGCTGAACCAGGTTTGAAACTTTTCATAAATGTTGAGCCTTTCCTTAGCTTCCAAACTGATTCTTTTTTTTTTTTTTTTAATGGGGGGGAAGTAATAGGGAGGGAGTGTACACTTTACAGTATATCTGATTTAAAATATATATTTTTTAGAGTGGAATCTAGAGTGAATTTGTTAAGCAAGAGCTTGGGGAACCTCAGAATGAAATTGATTTCATTTGTCTTTGTTCCACTTGCACCCTGAAACAATCAAAATGTAGGCATCGTTTCAAAAATAAATTCTACCGTAGTTTTAGCTAACAATGTCCATTCTAAAAATGCAAAATATGCATTAATAATGCATCTAACCAGGAACAGTTTAATATCTTTTGAAACAAAAACTATTCTTCTTTAGGAAGACAATATGATTCGTAAGAATAAAAAGAATCCCCTGCATTTTTGGAGCTTTAAATAGTTTATTGTCCTTTTTAAGGAACTCTAATCCTACTCCTGAAGATTCATATAACCCCAGTTAATAACAAGTCTAGATAACGTGTTTAATTTTTCATTTAAAAAAAGAGGATATTTATTTGCATTCTTCCAAAGCAGAATTCCCTCTCGCTTGGCAGAAGCGGGACCAGAAATGAGTTTGGCCAGAGAGGACACTATCACAAAGATACTGTACTGCACAAGACAAGAAAAGTTGTACAGAAGGTTGATAAAATAACTTAGTAGCTGGACTTTAAACCTTGGCAACCATAATACCGTTATGAGGATTTGATGTCCATAGCAGAACTGGATTTAAGTTTCTATGTAAATGTTCCTGGGATTTTTGTGTTTCTTGAACTGTCCTGCGGAGAGGTTAACTTTGTGGGGGAGCATCGTTTAGAAACTATGCATTCATTTTATGAATGACCATTCATTCTCCCCATCACTTTAAATTTTATAATGCTAGGAAGTTGCTCTTGAGAGTAGTTCAAACCAGTGATACAGCCTGTAATTTTCTTTTTTTTTAAATTTAAACAATTTTGGATCCCTTCTGAAACTTTCTCAGCAAATTGGGAAAACTGGAGATAGTAAATACTTACTATCTCCAGACGTGTCATTCTTATCATTAATGTCACTAGGAACACATTCAATTTTGCATGAGTTTTATGGTTGATTTCAAAGCCTGTTTTGATCTGCATAGTGCGAAAGCTAAACACATTAAATTTTCATTCATTTATCTCCCTGCAGACAAAAGTAAAGCTTGTGAGAGATTCAGAATACAGTTTTAAAGCTCAGACAGGATTGTGCCATTATTTTCATCGCTCAGATTTTGGAGTTTCAATAGCAGGATTTGCTGCATATGACTTCAGGTAACTATTATTGATTCTTTTTATTTGCTGTGCTTCTGTGTTCACTAGCTGCGGGGTAAGCCAGAGCCACTAGTGCATTGACCAGTCAAAGGTTATGAAGTTATTGATGGTATCACTTCTGTAGCTATGTACTGGATAAAAATTAATATATAAAATTTTGAATGTTATGGCTTGCTGCAAGGAGTCCAGTCAAGCATGCCATCAGGTCTTCACAGGTTTTCTTATCTGTGCCAGTCTGACTTCTATGTAGACATGCTTGGACTACTTTTAATAACAGTATATACTTCCCATAAAAAAAAAAAAAATACTAGGACATACTTAAGTCAGAAGCAGCATGCTCTGACTTGTGGAAAACACGAAGGAGCTCCTTATCTCCAGGGCAGAGCGTTTAGATCCTTTCTTCTCTTTTTCTGCAGTAGCTCAGCAAAGTTGCAAGTAACAGTAATACGTACTGGCATTTTGTTGATTTTTCAAAGATAAAATTTATACTGTTCTATAGACAATCAGCACACCCTTCGCCTTAAGAAAGCCTTTGCGATAATGACAACTGAGACAGGTTTTTGGGCCCTGCATATTACTGTTCTCCTGTCTCTTAAGTCCACCGAAAGTTCAGTGCAAGTAAGCACTGAAGCATCGGGCTGTTCGCATTTACTTTGACTTTTGTAATGCAATGTGAATTGCTCTAGACTTAACTAAAACTTAACTGCTGAGAAATAGTCCTTGTTTAAAAAAAAAATTCCTGTGTTTCTAGTTGCTTCTTTCTTCTGGTCTGAAAGATCAAAATCTCACCTTAGAATAGTCTTTTAATTGCTGTTATATCAACAAATGCAATACACTGAAAAGGTATATCTATACTAATGCTAAATTCAACCAAAGAGGAATGCTATGCAGAACCATGTTCTGAAACTACTAAGTAGTTCCTACAACGTTCTTGGTGACCCTAGACTGTAGTCGAGTGAATATGTTCAGTACTTCAGAGGATGGGAGTTGGCTCTTCCTTAGGCACAAACTTCACAGGTGAGACTGGGCAAACTTTGAAGCTCTGATTACTCTTCAGACTTAAGTCAAGTGGGACACATTCACAACTGCAGTGCTTCTTAAGTTAACTGCATGTTTGTGAAAAATGTTCCTATCCAAAAATCACAGAAGATGGGTTAACCTAACATTCTTCTTTTTGTATGTTTGACACTGTTCACCTGTAAAAGTGCGAAAATCCTACTGTAGCTTTTAACTGTTGTAGCAGATTGATTTATAGGAAAATCTGAAGTCAACTGAAAGTACACTCAGTCTGTATCTTAGTTTGAATATCTTCTGTGCTATTGGCTTCTTTTCTAGTATACTTAATTTCTTTTGATGTAATGCAGAGCTATGCTAGTTTTTGTAAAATTGGTGTTTTTAGATGAGATTAAAATTGAGGTAGTTATCTTTTAAAAAAGAAAAGAAAGTCATCATTCTTCTTTGAGGATTTGTAATGCTAGAATCATAGCCATTGTTAGTTTTAAGATGTTTTTATTCTTCCTACTTAAAATGTTCTTAAATTTCAGCTGATGGTTGCAAAAACATGGAAAAACTATTGGAACTTGGATGCATAAATACCTACATAAGCAGCCTGATTTTTCCCTCCCTTACCAGTGTTTGGCATTTTTGTAAGCTAGAATACCTACTTAATTTCCTATAATTTTTAAAAATAATTTTGATGGCACAATTTGAAAACTTACCATTTTGCAATTCTTCTGGTAAATATATCCACAGAGAATGGCGAGGGTGGGTAGTGGGAGTCCTGGAGGAGCAGCTTGTATTGTGTTAGATCAAAGAACGACACATTCGGTCTAGTATTCTTATCTCCAGCAGTAGCCAAAAGTGGATGCTGAAGAACCAGAGTAAAGAACAGGCCAAGCATCTACAAAGTTTCCCCCGAGTATTTGTCCAGCCTCCAAACATCTATGGCTGAAACACTTTCTGAGGCAGAAGTGCCCTCTGTGTATTCCATATCCCTCAATGGATTTCTCTTTTCTGGACTTTTCCAGGCACCTTTTGGTGCTGTATAAACTTGTAGTGTCTACATCATCCTGTAGCAAAGAATTTTGCAACCCAGTCATGCATGGGAGGAAGAGTCATCATCTTCTGTTAATTTTGAACCTATCTCCTGGTTTCACTTCATGCCCTTAGTGCTTATATTGGGGGGGGGAGGGGAAAAAAAACGACCAGTCAGTCCCTGTCATGCTTTGTCAGTGTAAAAGCTTCCGAAGGAAATCCCTACTCTTCTCAAATGTCAATAAAATTTAGCAAGTGTTCAGTTACATCAGCACTTAACTGTTTACATAGCCCATGACTTGGGAAACAGTGCTATCAACTGAATTTTGTAAAGACAGCTTCCAGCTTCTTAGGGTTTTGTGTTGAATAAGTTTGTTTCTAATTTTTATCGGTACAATACAGCTGCATACTGAGCTGCAAGACAAGAAATACAATTTTAACTAGAATGTGAATTACTGCCGGAAACAAATAACTAAAATCAATTATAGCTTTGCCATTCTGTATATGCCAAATTTAGTTGTTACAAATACCGTGCAATGACAGAGATTTCCTGTTCCTTTATGTTACATAAAGCTGCATGAGGATGCTAATGGTAAATGTTTAATAGTGGTAATTGTCTATTATATGTCCTGTGTTTTTTAATATGTTGGGATACATATTTTAGTGTATTATTATGTATTAGATTAAAGTTACTTCTCTGTATTTGAAAAACTAATGGGAAATGATGTAGACAAATCATTTGTCAAAAGCTATTTTCTTAAATTGAGTAAAGTGATGTATAAAATGTAGATGTTGTTGACTGTTGCCCTGTTACTGGACCCAGAAGCCTGCTTCATTTTAATAACATCATATCTTTGGAGAGCAAAGCCTTTTGCTTAGCCTGTGTGCTCTGTTTTAATGAGTTGTAGTGTATAAAATGGATAGTTATTGAATACATGGTACATAGAACTCATAGAAAAGAATTTAATTATTTGATTGTTAAATCATATATAATGAGCAGATTACCACCTCTCAAATTGCTGACTGAAGTAACTTTGCATTGTCACTTTCTCCCTTGCCAGCGGCCAGGAAGAGGAAATGATGCGGATGCTTGTGAACAGGGGCCCTTTGGCAGTAACAGTAGATGCAGTTAGCTGGCAGGATTATCTTGGTGGAATCATACAGTATCACTGCTCCAGTGGAAAAGCAAATCATGCTGTTCTTATCACTGGTTTTGACAGAACAGGTAAGTTTCCAGCAACTAAACTTCCACCCAGTAGGTTTTGTTTGTTCTCCTACTTGTAGCTTGCCTCCTGTGCTATAGGTGATTAAAATCCATAATGCTTAAACTGTATGTTCTGCCACCTCAGTTTTGAAAGTGCAGTCCAGTCCCAGGAGAGAATCTGTTCTTCTCTCCATCCTCCTCTAGTTCTATGGGACTTCATGGCCCTTGTAAAGACAAGAACACAGGTGTATTTATATCCTTACCCTAGCAGACAATGTATCAGGTCTGTTCAGTACTGGAATATTAGCTCCGTCCTTTGTGTGAACAGTAGTAGATTTCCTTGTACTGTGTCATCAGACCAGTAAAAGTTGTGAGGCATTAGAATGGTGGTTAGAAATTAGAATTTTTTTATGCTTCCCAAATCTCATGCTGTCTCTTATTTATGAAAATGTCTTTTCCAGGTAGCATCCCTTACTGGATTGTACAGAACTCTTGGGGGCGTACATGGGGAATAGATGGCTATGTTCGTGTTAAGATAGGCAGCAATGTTTGTGGTAAGTCTGACAAAAAATAATGTGAGTGGTAAAGGCCATATGCTGGGATACTCCATGTAAGTAAAGCAAAATAAGGGGGGGCCTCAGAGAGAAAATAGAAATCACTTCTGTATTTTAAAAGAGGGTTAGATGAGTCCAGGTGGAAAAATAAATAAATCGTTTCCTAGTTGAACCAAGCCATATAGTTGAATGACTGTAAAACACTATGCAGAAAGTAGAGCTGTATAAAGCATAACAATACTTAACAACCCAGTTTCTGCTGAGTTACTGGATATAGAGGTCAGGAAGGTAAAGCCCCTGTTCACAGGCAAAGGTTGCTGAGCCTAATTGCTGGGATTGGACTGCTAGGTAGTAAGTCTTATGCATCCTTTGAATTCTTTTCTGTTAGACAAACGCTGTAGGTCTTTGTTGGCCTTACCTTCCATGGGAAAAAATCCATGCTTTGTGTATGTTTCGCAGTACCTTAGGCAGCTATTGTAAAATGGGTAAGATGATGTAAATCATCTTCAAATAAGAATAGATAATACTTGGTTAGTATGGCTGTTTGATGTTGCTGAAGCTTTTATTCTCATTTCTGGTTATATAAACAAACTATTTGGAAAGAGAGATTTAGCAGTAATAATAATTAAAGCAAGTCAATTGCAGAGGTGGTCAGGAAGAATGGCTTCATTATTTTCAAAATCATTCACTCAAAAAGCAGGATCATTCACATTTTCTGATGTGTGCTACGCAGGAGCAGCCAGTAAAGATTAGTAGTTATTCCCCTTCCTTGACAGTTGATGTTTCCTCATTTAGGAGTGCTCTGATGTTACTGTTGAGGTGTGAAGCCATCACCTGTTGATACCTTCACAAGCTGTAGTCAGACTTTGCTTTTGGTACTTGGAGCAGTACGACAATCCAAAAAGACTTGAACTGAGCATGAATAAAAGCATAGTTGCTCTGTGTGTATAGGAGGGTTTAAAAATATCAGTACTCAGTAAAATATCAAAACTCAGTAAAAGAAACTGAGTTCTCTAATCTCTTGGTGATCTTACAAAGCTTCATAGTTTCATGTTATCTGTTAGTTTATCACTAGCCAACTGAATGTGGTGGTGCATCTGATTAAAAAAGATGATTTTAAGGTTTAGATTGAGCCCCCATATTGGACTAATGCTGAATCCTCAAAAAAGACCTAAAATTTTGAACATGAAAGCAGAGAAAAGAGGTGAGTACGGCTCAACTACAAACAGCGTCAGTCAACAAAGAAATAAAAGGGCCTCTGAATTCTTTTTTTCCCTTGCAGTCCACCTGTTGTCATGACATGGAGGAGAGGCGGGGAATAGGATACGAATTGTGGGAACTTACTCTGTCAAGTCTAATGTGATGCAGCTGTTTCCAGTATTTATTCAAAAATCTTTTTGTTTCATTTGTAGGTATAGCGGATACGGTTTCATCGGTGTTTGTTTGACATTCATTGGCCAAAGACCACAATTCTTATGTGGTTAATAGTTTGGCATATACTGCATGTGAAGACTTGACTTCAAAGCAGCATTTCCTAAATTTCCAGAAACTACTGTATAAGGCATTTCCTCTTTTGGGCAGATATGGCTTGGCCAGGGTTTTTAAAAATGTTTTCATTTGGAATCTGTGCTGCATATGAAATCTTCCTGGAATGAGAAGGCTGAGTGACTGCAGAGTGAAGAAAAAGGAAGTTACAAAAACGGACTGAAACCATGAATTTGAACTCTATCCAGAAGCTGTCAAATACTGAAAAATCCACTCCATAAGAAGTCCTTTGATGAGGAAGGAATGTGGTGATGACAGATGATACGGAATTTGAATCAAGAAATCAACAGTATGACAGTATAATTGAAATGCATGTGAGAAGAACCATGATTAAGTCTGCTTTTATTTTGTGGAGGGGGGAGCGGTAGAAGAAAATACTCTGTTACGCTTTAATGCCTATTTTGGCCTTTGTGGTGCTTCTAATGGACACATGCATTTTGTCCTCTTCCTTTTTGTAGAATCCTTTTTTTTTTTTTTCTAAAGCTAGAGGAGTAAAGGAGGGAAATGTAGAGTCATAAAGTTGTTTCCAGAGCAACCAGTGTCTCTGTATTGCTGTTGTCCTTCCATTTAAGTCTTTGACCTTTCTTGGGTAAATATAACTTATTCTTCAGAGCAGGGAATATGTTTTGTAAAGTGCCTGGAGTATTTGAATTTTCTGAACTAGTTTGTTAGATGCAGGAAGTAACTGTTGTGTAGGCTGTATTTAGACAAACAGAGGCAGTTCTACTAGTGGCTTGACATGAAGGTGTATTGTGTGTCCTAACAGGACATACGTGTTTGCAGATCAGCTGTTCTGCTTGGAGAGCTGTGTTAGTTCCATGCTTTCTCTCTTCTCTACTTCATGCTAACACTGAAGCCAGTTGCAAAGTGCAAATTCAGAAATTTATTTATTACTGAAAAAGTTGGGGGGGGGGAGTGGTCAATATATGTTTGCCACCTTTAAAAAGGTGCAGTCATAGAGTGCTCCATACTGAGTGGATGCTGAATTTCCCTAAAAAAAAACTTACCAAACTATGTTCTTGAACCTGTACTAATTGGAGGGATTTGGTGGGAAACAAGAAGTTGCTCAGCTTTGCTGAGCTGTAAAATTGCAGTTGCAGGCAAATATAAACAGAATTCAGAGCTAAACGAGCAATTCTAAAATGCTCTAATTTTTTCAGCTAGAATGCCTTCTAGTCCACCCATATCCTTTATTGAAGCGCTATTATGAAAAGTATTGAAGCAGTTTTGTAACTTTGCACTCACTTGTGATACCATGTTAATAGTTCTGTGTATAATAATCTTATGACAAATGCAATGAATATTCATAATTTTTTACTGTAAGTGTTGTCATTTTAGACCTTCCACTTCTTGTTAATATTTTGAATGAAAGAATGACTGATTGCTGTGTATTTCTGCTTCAGGTAGTTTAGCTACTGACTGAATTTTACTGGCTGAAAACTTCATATTAGCAAAAGGAGAAGTATATATACATATTCTCTAATATGACCTTCCCTTAGCAGTTTACAAACAATTTACAAGTAGCACACTGTACTAACTGGAAAACAATAGCTCAAGTTATAAATCAGCACTGATAAGCATAATTTTACAATATTATCAAACACAGAAGTTCTACCTACTTTAACAATTTTTGAGGTGATTTTTACCACGCATAAGTGTTTACACTAAGATACAGAACAACTCACACGTGCCTTAATTTCTGGTATTTCCAAGGGAAGCCTTTAGAAAGACAAGTCCATCTAGTAAGAAGCAGACACAGCTCTATCAATACTCTGGCCAAATTTGCCTCAATTTTACTATATATTAATTGTGTTCTTATTGCAATAATATTTTGAATTAAAAAACTTTAAATGTCTGTCATATTGTTATTGGAACTTTATGCTTGCTTTAGAAGAAGACAGCAAAAGAAGAGCTTTAATACTGCTTTATTTGAAGTGCAAAATGAAGTACTTCAGGTCCATCTACTATTCTTAACAGTAAGTATTTTTACTGAGGAGATTTCTGTTCGTGTGTAACAACATGCAGAAAAATGTCTCCTAATTTATATAAAAAATCAAAATGCTTGAGTTTCCATGAATTCAAGACTTAGGATTTTTCTAAAATCTTGTTTTGACAATCTTACCCCAAAATTCCTTTTGAAATTCCACTAAAGGCTTAGATACTAATATTTTTCTGAAGCTGTTAAGACTAATTACATCCTAAATTAGAAGTAATTTGCTAGCAGCCATTAGGCAAACTAATAAGTACAAAAATATGTGCAAATAAGATATGATCATGCTAATTCTGTCTGAAATGCTCCCTTTCCCTAGATGAAAGTTTTAAGACAGCAACTACAATTTTGAACACTTAATGCTGAGTTAAATTGGCCACTGAGTTGAATTGGGATGTCATTTTAGCCTCAATATAGCCTAATGCAATACAGATTTTTTACAAATAATTAGCCTTCTGCCATAAGCTGATTATACTATTCACACAGTTGTCATACATAAATACATATTTACATACCCCCACTGTACAAGAACAGTTGCTATATTTGAGAGAGAGCACCAGTCAATGTGATAGTTCTGAAGCTCTTTAGAGCAATCATCCTGGAAAGGTACTTCAATCTGAGTCATCACTGCTAAAATAGGAGCTGTCACAATATTCTGCTGTATAAAGGAATTTATGAATAGTTGGATTCATCTTTGGTATCCAGTGTCTGGGCACTAAAAATGTTGAAAGATTGAACAAATCCACAAACACCTTGTATCTGTCACTGAAAAAGACAATTAGAACAATTTATACTGCTGCATTGGCATAGAGGGGCCATAATTTCAAAATCCACAGAAATCATGCTGTCTCTTTGATTTTATTTAATAAGTCTTGTGCACTAACCACCCTTCTCCTTATTCTTCCAGAGTAAAAGCCCAACCCTAACTGCTTCCAGGGCACAGCAGTCTTTCACATCTTTCTCATAAAAATGCAGATTGTGTAGGCTCTAATCCCCAGCCTTCCACTCTTGTACTAAAAAACAAAGTGGAATTTATCTAGGAAGACTGTTGATCTGAAATTAAGGATGAGGGAGAAGGCTTACTGAAAAGATGGAACCTTTAGCATTAGGCCATCTTAATTCAATCAAACTGACTGCTTTCTATTCCACAGTTAAGATTGGGGTGGGAATAGTTGCCCACAGCCACGTCAGTTACCAACTACATACTATTTGTCTTTGAGAACAACCTTAAGGTCCTTGTAGAGGAAGTTGTTTCGAATATTCCAGTGCTCTTTGACATCATGTGGTTCAGGACTGTAAGGATGTAGCTGTAACTACAAACTTTGAACTGGCTCCCTAGCTGAATACTCAAAAGTTTGTGTTTAAAAACTCTACCCAGTTGAAGTGATCTGTGCTCAGGCCTAGACCATCCATTGGGAGAGGATGTTTCCACTGCTTTCCTCCTTTAAATTCTTTTTTCTGCTTCATGCAGCAGAAGGAAACATTTGATTGTTGCCTGCACAGCTAGAGAGTATTAATTAATATCACATTTCAGAATACATTTAATCCTCAATTTTAGTACCATCACTTGTACAATTAGAAGTCATGCTAAGGATAAAGAAACTGCCAACAGTCACACAGTAGATTGAACTCCATTTCCAGCCTGTATCACTTAAGTAACTTGTCATGGATAGCACACAAACTAAATAATGCAGTATTAATATTATTTCTATTACAGTAGTGCCTAGATCCCTTGACTGAGAATTATAAAAGGCACTTTACATGAGTGATCAAAAGGTGGTGGTGGTGGTGGCCCCAAATGTCTTAGAATCTATATGTCAGCTGATGGGTAAATGTAAAGCAGTCAGGAAGAAGAAGAAATAAAGGAGTCTAGCAAGAGAAAAACCAGCACTCTAACCTCCCATGAGCTACCTGAAATCTATCCCTTGTCATTACAATGGCTATGAACTGTTATTTCAAATAACGGGAGTCACATTAGTCTTACCTCACTGTCGAGCGCAAATAGTGGTAGCCTGATGAGCCTCCTGTGCCAGCCTTGCTGCCAATCATTCGGTGCACCATGCAAACGTGGTTATCTAAGGAATACAAATCAGCAACATGGCATATGGCTGATGTTAAAATATAAACAAACGGTTGGTCATATGAAGGTGTATCACTGAAATATTAAAGATCATAGACAGATGACAGGTCTTCAGCAAGGCAAGACTTAATTTTGCCACTTTTCAGTCAGTTGGTACAAAATGATTAGTACAGAATGAATATGGTGTTATTCCATTATTACAGAATATGCATACATACTCTGTTAATAAAGAGTTAATACGTTCATTTATGGTTGCCTAGATAGGGAAGGAGCAGAAGGAATGTTTGCATGTGAAGAGATGTAGTCATGAATTTTTGGGGGACACTGGAGAATAAAATTATTAACTTTAAGCATGCCATGGAAGTGACAGCTATGCCTATGTATCTGCTGACCACAAGGAAAGGTGTCCATCTTTTCTCTTCACCAACGTACAAAATAATCATTCTTAAAATAAAAAGGAAAAGGATAAACTCAGAAGTTCAGGTCTAAAAGTCTGGGTGTAGCTCGTGTAAGAGAGGGTGAAATAAAACAGTTTACTTAGATCTTTAAGAGATAACATCACAGTAAAAGTGAGAAACTTACATCTCCATTTGGTCATGAGTACGTCAATATCCATAAGAGAAGTAAGAAGCTGAAAGGGAACCTGGAAGCGAGGCTCTTCTCTTGAAAAATGAAAGAGAAGAAACAAAGAGACCTCTTATGTTAATGAGGCGCTACATTTTTCAAAATATCACTTCAGCAAAGAGTAGTACTGACTGACATATATCTTCCCTGAATTAATAGTGGAATACCATGAGCTATTTCTATAAAAGCTTTGCCATGTAAGTCTCAATCTGTGCTATTTCTCTCATCCTTAGAAAAATATTCTAAATCTTTGTAGGACACTGTAGTGCAGTATGCACAAGACACTTGCTTGTTTCAGTCTGAGACACAACATGTGGTCAAACACCGGAAGCAGCTGCCTGGAGAGGCTGTGAGACCTCCATCTGGGAAAGATACTTCTGGCTCGACTAGACACAACCCTGAGTAGCCTAAGCTGACTTTAAATTGGATCCAAGTAATGGCCCTAGCTTGGGGGGATGGTTGGAACAGATGACTTTCCAAGGTCCATTCCAACCTAAATTTGTCTGTGATTATGTCCTTAACCCTCACCTCTCCTGCTGCCAGTAAACACTGAAGGTTCATCTTCTAACGTTACCTGTAGAAGTAGATCATTAGGGCACCCTTCAGTGCTTTATAAGACAGTCGTCTTTCTCCTGCAAAATACAAGTGTCTAGTTTGTTGCTGATTTTTCTGCAAATTTAGTGATATCATGTGATAATTATATCTCTATCATAAAATACAAGAAGTGTATATTAACATATATTAATATATTCTACCTTTACTAAGAAGGTGTTCATGGCGTTTTTCATCAAATAACGAAAGAAGTACATCTTTCTGTTTTTGGAGTTCTGATAATAAGTCATCTTTTTCTTCCGACTCTGGTTTGGCCTTTGATATTTAAAGTAAAAGTAGTTTTTAGAATTCAGTAGGGAAAAATTAAGCTATTGAATGATCCATGATGTAACTTTTATTTCCATTATCAATACTTTGTAAGTTCATACCTTAAATCTAAGGACTGTCTGTTCAAATAAGATAGATGAATCATTGGCCATTGCAAAACTTGATTACCATAAAATGTACTCCAAAAATATGCAATTAAATAGCTGTTATACAATTCAGATAAATGAATATTCAAAAAAAGGTGCAGCACATCACTTTTCTTTAGGTCTGTAGGCCTTAGAAGCACCTAACCTTCATTTTTTCAAAGGCTAATTATTTTACTTCCTTATTTTCAAGGCAAAAGAAACACCCCTTGTGCAGAAAAAAAACAAATTGTAAATACGTGGCAGGGTTAGGAAGTTGTAAACAAATGTTCTCAGGAACTTTACAAAATTCTTAATTCATGGTATTTTTTTCCATTAAACATGCACTTAAACCTACATGCCTTACAATATTCTGGGATAGCTAAATCACTTGCTTCTAGAAATGAAGACTTCTTTTGTGCTCATTTGCCAATGCAATTCAAATGATCACATAGCAGTAAATTGTCATATATCATTAAATAGAAATGGGCAATAATAATGAAGCTGTGTGACTTTCCATAGTCCATATGGACTCAAACTTTGTGGAGTCTTACTCTGAACTGTAGATGCAAACACTCAAGGTGAAGTTCTAGTTTCTGTAAAATCAATTTCAATCCTTCCACTAATATCCCTTTCTTTTTGCAATTAAAATCATCCACGTATCACATGCTTTAAATAGATGTCAAAATAAAAACTTATTCAGATTTCCTGTAAAAAAATGTGCTATTTTTTCTGCTTCTTGCGAACAGAGGCTGCTGAAGATTAAGTGAAGTGACCGAGAAACTGTGATTGATCTAAAATGGCAAATTAAATGTCAGGATGTGTATTTCGGCAACTCTCTTTGCTTATAGCTAGATCAGGAGTACGTTATATACCTGCACCATGGCAAATTCCTCTTCTAGACCTCTTAAAACATTCACTTCAAATTGTCCCCAGAAATCAAATCCTTCTGCTTCAAGTCCTGGCGTTCTTTCCAGCCATGCCTTTAATAATAATAACGTATTCAAATATTAATAATGTAAGTACCTTACCAAAGAATTACAAGTTATGGCACTATTAAATATTGCTACAGTTGTTCCAGCTTAATTTCCTGAATAGGTGCTTATCACGGTAGTAGGAGCGTCCATATGGAAGATTTATACCTGTATAACAATGCCATGCAAACATATCCACAGATTCTAAGTAATTTTTAAATGACCAGTGTTGCAAGACAAAAGCTGTCTCATTCTAACAGTATCTTTAACATCAGTTCCCTTTATAGGTACAGGGAAACAATTTTATCCTACATAAATAGGATAAATGTAAAGATAAGTCCAATGAGGAAGACAGATACAGAACAATCTAATGGAATAGCTAGTTTTTATGATGTCAGTCACGGTGAATACTGATTAAGCACTCTGTCATTGACTTACTTCAAAATACACGGAAGTGATAATACAAAATATAAATGTACTTGGCAATTATCAGAGCTCCCTCTCTGATTTCCTTATAGTAATAGGAATGAAATTAGGAAGAAAAGATTTAGGAAGCTTTCTGGTCAGATTCCCTTTAGAGATAATTTGATTTAGCTCCTCGTCTGAAAGAAACCTCAAGAACATCAAATATTTATAAAGGAAGAAAAGTTACATAAACCTCATATACGTTCTGAAAGAGCTCTCATTAGATGAATGAATAGAGAATAGTGTCACAGGGCTAATAGAAGTGGATGCTTATATTGCATTATTCTTTAGAAAGTTATGTAAATTTAGTTATGAAAATGACAAGGGAGTTAGACAAATTGTTGTGTTTGAGTCATTCATAATTTTGAGACAAAGTCAGACTAAAATCAAGGTAAGTGATAATGCAACATATGATAAACATCTTTTTCTCCTTTCCTTTCTGGGTTAGCAAATTTTGCTTTTCTTTCTTGGACTGCTCTAATAACTGTAAGCATCAATGACAGGGGAAATATTTCAAAAGTTTTCTTCTGAAATAGAGTTTAAGGTTGTGAAAAAGCAATGGAAATAAAGCAGTACATAAATAGTCTTAGACATCTCAGACTTCCAGAACACAATTTTTTAGTTTAACGCTCAGTTAGGCTTTTCTCTTCAGACAAGAGAAAATGTCATGAAAAATTAGTAATGCTGTTGTTTTCTGATGACTGACTCCCCTTCATATAAAAATTGGTAAGAATCCAAATTGTGATTGACTGGGTAATTGACAGCTTGCTTACTTCCCTCAAGGGAAAAGAATTTGTCACTGACACCAGTGAAGAACATTCTTGGGAGGAAGGAAAAAAAAGGCAAGCCATAGGACAGACACTGTTACCTCCACAAGCTGCAGTAGTGTTGGCTCTTGCTCTGATTTAAGCAGCTGTTCATAATCCTGCCCCTTGAAGTTATCACGGTAATGCCTTCTGTTATAGGGGACACGCAGGCTTTGGGGAACACCAATTTTGTTCTCTAGCAAGCGAAACTGCAGGCTCTGAAAACCTGAGGCTGGGCTTAAGTAGTCCCTTTGGGAATAGAAGAAAAGAAAAAAAGACATACAAAGACAGGATATTATTTTATGGTATGGGGTTCTCTAACAAAAGAAAAAAATACATTTCTCACATTTGAAGAATGTCAAATAGATGTCCAAACTTTTGTAGTATGATTGCAATTAAGATAATAAAAATGAAAGCTATTTTAATGCAACCACAATGCAGATTTTCTTTTTCTAGCTATATATTGTTTGTTTGCACACAGACACATACATACACACATTTATATTGTATTTTATAAAGGCATTTTTTGTGTGTGGTACATGAGGAAACTTTAGCGAGTATCATTTCCTTTCCAAACAGAAAGAGCAGGTTCATTCCAAGCAAATATTCAGAACATTTTCACATCATTAAAATGTAAATACATGCATTTTAAATAGGCTTGTTACACTTAAGAATAATTACCTTCTGTGAAATAGACTAATGTCCAGAAAAACACACAGTGGGTTTTATTTGAAGGATTCATTAATGGGTTTGTTTCAGGCTTAAATCATGTTAACCGTGTGGAAAGAACTGATTAATCAAAGTGACCTGAAATGCTACATTGCTGGATAATTGTAATATGCTTTAAATTGAAGACACAAGATTTTGTGAAAACAGATCATTGTTTTGATCTTATAATCGCTTATCAGTATGTTATTAACAGTATGATACTGAAAAGCAGAAGCAAGAATTCCTCAAAATTGATGATAGATAGATTCCCATTTATTTCTCATGCTCTATTGGAAGTGTAGAAGAAATAGGTGTTTCAGACTTCCACTGAAAGCAAAATTACAGTTTCATGTGCTTTTAAGTCAGGGAACATTGAAGGAAAGGAAAGGATATTAAAACACTGCAGAAGTGGATGGGATGCTGGATGGTGTTAAAGTCAGAAATCAGATCAGGGACACAAGCAGAATATAATCGTTTCTATTGTTTCTGCTATTATTTTAATTTTGTACTAGGATCCCCTTTAGCAGCATCAAACATAAACATCAAAAATTAACTTGTATGTCATTGCAGAGTATGCTGGACTTGCACTCAAGCTCAACTTCCTGGCTGACCTGTGTACTCTAATGTTACGCTTGTCTCTTTCAAGTATGCTCTCATCTTGCCAAATGATCAGGTAATTCAAGCTGCCAGGGCACATGCAAGTCCTGCCTTAAATTCACAATATTAACTCTAAGGATGACAATTATTTGTTCATGGATTACTGTGGAGAAGTATTAAGTATTTACCTGAAATCAAAGAAGTCCAGTGCAGTCATAGTTTCCAAAACGGAGAACTGTTCCACAAGTAATTTTAGAATCATTGAAATTCTATGTATTCGAGTAATAACCTTCAGCATGTTCCTCTCATCTCTTACCTTAGGAAAAAATAAGGATCATAACCAGGTGGAAAATGGTGTTCTATTTACATTCTGCCTATTTGAGGTCTTTTCAGTGTTGTACATCACTACAGTTTCCAAGTGCTTTCCATATGAAATTCATAGCAGCAGCAAAATCTCATATTGAATATAGAGCCCTATTTTAAATGCAAACTGAAACTATAGTTTTCAAAGATCAAAATTTGATCTTCTGTCAATGACAATATATTGTAACTGGGCCAAATATATGGGAGGAATTTTTTTTCTTTATTGTATTTTTGACTGACACAGATGTCATCACAAGAAATTAAATTCTCAGCCAAAATCCTTTCTATTGTAATCAGTGAAAGAACAAGTCATAAGGCCGCTGGAGAAAGTACTTAAAAGTTAAGAAGCCAAATAACCTGAGAGATACACCAGGACAGCACATCTGAAAAGAAGCTCATCAGAGAACATGTGCATTAGCAAGTAGACGAAAACAGAAGGCTGCATCCGGTGGGAAATAGAAAAGATGAAAGAGGGTAGCTCTCTTAAACATAAGTTGAACACTTGGCCTCCAGTGAAGGCTGATAAAACTTTAACGGGATCAAATTTCTCTCCAAAAGCAGTGCACACAACCAAGAAATATCAAACTACAAAAATGAAGGATGAAAACTATTTCCATAATCATCTTCCTATGTTCTTAACATTAACGTTGACATTTCAAATTCCAATTGTCAGATAGCTTTCATTTATCACAGAAATAAAAAATAAAAAATTATTCAACTTAAGAACTGATTGTGATTGGTTATATTTTGTTATCATGTTGCATTAGAAAGCCAACAAAATTATGAATGTTGAGGACAACAAAAAAAATTTTCATTGAACATTTTAATAGAAAGGTTCCTTGTTTTTTATGCTCTACTTTCAAATTTTCCTCACATAACACACACACTCAGGACATTATTCAACGCACAAGGCATTTTTCAAATTACGTGCAGTCAGCCATCTTCTGTGATATAGCATCAGATCAGCAGTTTGCCTACATTATTTATAGTTATGAGGGGTGTTTAGCTTTAGACAAATGTTTAGAGATGTTCAAAATATTCCCATTATATTTGTAATTTTTCAGAAATTCTCATACAATCATGCATGGTGATTTTGATTACTGCTGTTATGTTTGATTTAATAATACACAAGTCCTGAAAAGAGTTTTCCTTCCATATAGTAGATATTAGATGGAAGGGGTTACCACTACAGTGTAACAATATATAGAATACAGACTGAAAATATTTGAAAAAGTCAGAAGTGACATTTCAACCTAAATATACACAATAGCCTTCTGTTTTTCAGTTTTGCCTCCAAGCATGCTATTTCTTCAGTAGAACATTCTGAAAGTAGTGTCTGCAACTATCCAGTACTAGCAGGAGAATAGGGAAGTAATTTAGCCAATGAAATTAGTCCTGAGGAGTGATTTATGTAAAAGGTAGATGTCAGGAGAAACAGGATTTTGCAGACCAAATATCTGTACTATTAGGATATAGGAACTAGTCAGCCAAATTTCAGTGGGATATTTTGGTTGTTTTTTTTTTTAAAGAGCACATGGACATGTTGCTTTAGTAAAACCCAAATACATCAGGCCGGGAGGCAGGGGACAGGAGAAAGAGGGCTGGATTTTGCCAAAATGAGTATTTGTTCTTAACTTACATGCCCATTCTGAAAGATCACCCGAACAGAGTCCATTTCCCATAGAATCTGCTTAAACCAAAGTTCATAAGCTACAACAAAATAAGCATTGTTAGCATTAACTTCAACATCACTTTGGGTTTTCTTCATACCATTGATGAAATGAAATTCTTATGTTTTGATTTGAAATGAATAGCTTATATTCACACTGTTGCTGTACAAAAAGAGGCTGAAATACAAACATACTTCCTTTTTAGGCATGCTGTCCTTTACCTAAACTATTATTGCATTAAATAATTCAACATCAAGAATATTAACAGAATTTTTTTACAGTAAGTGTTTTTCACAGCAGCTCTTTGGTGTGCACAGTTTGCATTACAAACGAAGGAAAGAGAAAAACTAGCCCTACCACTCCAATAGAAGCTCTATGGCACCCTTGGCTAACCCCAAAGCTGCTTACAGCCTTTGTATTGACTACATGTTTCCTGAATGGCTAAATTTGGACTGAAGTTTCAGAGAAGACACAATCTACAAACACAATTTGCCTACAATACACTGCACAGTAGCCTGCTATTCAGACAGGCGACCAATTTCACCACCTTCATTTTTCTAGAATCAGAATGATTCAAAACTTGGGTTTCCAGATCCAGTTATGACGCCATAAGCATAGAGTTGACTACAGCCCTACAAATGACATAGGGAAAATATAAAAATATAAATGCAGACAAAAGAGTGATAGAGGATTGTAGTGACTGAATCTAACTTGTAAACCAATTACATATTGCATGTTTTAGCATTAAATTACTCCCCATGGCAAGAATGCCAGTCAACCACCACTTGACTACTCCTAGCCACTTACCTTGATGTGTCACAATAAAAAGATGCTCATCATGGATTTTGTTTCCTTTCTTTTCACTCTGGAGTTCTTGCGCATTCAATATTTTGTTCAGCTTAGAAATAAAAATAAGACTATTCAGTAATGTTCTCAATTCTGCTGTTAGCAATCGTGTTCCTACAGAACAGTTGGAATTTAAAGGTATTATAAAAGGCAAATAAAAAGTATAGGCCTCATATTCCAGGTTATATTAAAAGTTAGATGAAATGGTCACAAGTGTCTCTTTTCCTTTTTAATTAAAAAAAATAAAATAAAACTGACTAAAATGGGACATTTAGGTACCTCAGGCAGTAGAGTTCAGAAAATCTTTTCAAGGGGTTTTTTAATTACTGAAAAGAGTAAAAAAAAATATTCAGTACATTCTCCAGATCATATATTCAAGTATTCAGCTGTCACCTTCAGTGAAACAGAGGTCCTACCTATAGCAAAATTCTGTGTAGTCATGTAATAATGAATCTGTGCAAGAGCTCTGATCTGAAGCTGTACTAGTTGTTTCAGTTCTGGCATTACTAACTTCTGCAATCTTGTAGTTGCTTTAAGAGAAATCTTTGAGAGAACCCATATAGTATGTCAGCAAATTATTTTGTTTACAAGCACAGAGTAATTCCACTTACTTCAGTTTGTGCTGTCACAAAAAAATCCTCCCAAAACAAAAAACCCCTTCTTTCATTACTTAAGGCATTTATTTTCACTTATTTCTTAATTCCATTTTTTTTTCACAGATCACTGCAATATATTTTTCCAATCAAATATTCTGGGCTTTCATGCAACAATTTGCACATGACCTGCTGACATGTGGAGAAATTGCCAGCTACTAATGGTGAGACCAAAGAGAGCCTTTTGCGGCACACTATTTTACAGTTTAGGTTTGCCACTGAAGAATTCACCCTACCAAAACCCCCTAATATGCAGCTTCCCAAGAATGTGGGATGCCACCTCACAGTTCGGCTGCAACCATTCCAGCTGAGACAGACACTTGTGGCCCATGAGTACACCCTGAGCTCAGGTGGGGAAAGGGTGCTGGTGCCCTGCCTCAGTGACTGGCTGCCTGGCTGCTCTCAGTGAAGGATGGGGAGGAGAAGTGCCAAATGGGGACCAAGGCAGTAAAAATCAAATCCTTTCACTTACTTGGAGATAGTCTCCATAGACAAGTCCACCTTTGCTCGCTTTATTCAGCCCTTCTTGTGACTTGTCATCTTTTTCATCTTCCAAAGACAGTTTGCTAAAATTAAATCTAAAGAAAAAAAAGTAAATACATAGAAAAATAAAAAAAAAAAAGCACTATGAATAAAATAGCGGTTTTACTAGCAGATGCACCTAGAATTCACAGTCTTGTTTTGAGAAGCTGAACCACTGAAGCAGTCACTAAAGAAAAACAATACGTCTGAAATACATCTTTTCACAGTAGCAGTTGGTAGCATTAAACCTAGCGCATCAAATAACCAATGCTCAGGTCCCGCTCCAGTCTCTTTTCCTTTAGCAGTCTAGACAGCTAGACAGCTATAGGCAGCTACCTATTTTTCAATAACTATTAATTCCTCTCCGACCTTTTGCACTTTAACATTATGTCTTTTAAACTGACATTATGAAGCAAAACAAAGAGAAGAAAGACTCACTGGTATTTGTTCCCCATGAAGGGGCACCCACTCATGGTTCCAGGATCCAAACTCGCTGAGCTGCACTCCTGGGCATACACTCCACTAGCGTTCCCAAATCTGCTGCAGCCACCTTATATGTAACTTTATCTGACTGGATAGGCCAACCCCTAAATTCTCCTCCTTAGCCGTTAGCCCAGCCCTGCTATTCAATAATTACAGAAACTATCGCAGCACAAAGGTCAATAAGTTCATGTGTTGTTGGCTATCTTTTTTTTTTCAATCAATCAAAACAATAACAGCTGTAATCCTTTTCTTTGTCCTATGTCACACATTCTTTTGTGTTTTGTAATGCAAGGTCTTCTGACTGTGCTTACTTTCAGTTCAGTCCCCCTGTTTGGGGACCAAAGCCAGTATAAGGAGCAAGTCAGTGAGAGGTCTGTGTATGAGCAAAAGGCAATATTTAATATAGCAGTTGTTAAAGTAGGTTAGTAATTTGCAGCTCCTTGAATCAAGATGATTAAAAAAAAATCAAGATACTTCTAACATTAAAAGTGAAACATGTAGAAAAGGAAAAGGGAGGGTAAAGGACAGAGAATATATTTGTATGGCAGACTGAACTATGCTTGCCAGAGATTCCAAATAACACTCTTATTTTCAAAAATGCACATAGATTTTCTTAAGTAAAAGAACTAAAAATAACCATGTACATCTCATACATTATTTTTCCCAAGGTTTAATTCATGAAACAGAATTAACATAGAAATAGAATTAAGAAATAGATTCATGAAATAGAATTAAGATTCTGTTTCTTTGTGCACAAGTTTCACTCTCATTTGTTGACAAATGTTACTCAATTCTGTTTAACCATCAGCTAAACACACAATGAAGTAACAGGTAACCAATGTGCATTTCTTTCGTCATTGTGCCTGCCAGCTTCTTTAAAAAAAAAGTTAATGCTCAGTTGTACTGCAAACACAATTACAGGGCCCCTCTGAACTCAGGTCATTTACCCTCTGCCAGACTTCCAGTGCTTGGTGGTGGGTGGTGGTTTCAGCTGTTTTAGTCACTTAAGCATAGCTGGTTCATTAAAAGAGTCTTATGTGGGAATAGGAACTACACCCTTCTAAGTCAAATGACTAGTATGTCAGGCTATACAAATACCAGGTTAAAATCATATTTTTGTACAGCTGAGCCACAAGAAAAGCCGGACTCCACTGAGGCGTCACCCACCAGCAAGGTCAAGGTGTTCTTTCCTTTGTGATGCAAAACCTGACAGTGAAATATTCCTCAGTGCTCACATCTATGCATCTGCTCTGGATGCAGATGTAGACGTGGAGATGAAGGCGAAGACTGCACTGGCACACACAGCAGAAATTGAGTGTTGTGAACTGTGCTTTACATCATTCCGTTTGCACTTAAAGAGCATTATTACAAACATAATAATATAATCTTTAGAATGTATAGATCTCAAAGGCACGGACAAGGAAGGCTTACGTTGTCCTCTCCATTCACCTTTAGCTGAAACGCCCAGCCTGAGCCTCCACAGTGAAATCAAACTGTTACCTTTCCTCATGGCGCAAGCAAAGAAAGAGTGTAAATTTTTTCCAAATATAGATTGTTAAAAAATGACAAACACATAACCTCAGCAAAAAAAGTTACTGTGTGTTTTTTTGTGCAGTTTTACTGTCTTCTGTGGAACATAAACTTCTAGAGCAATGGTCTGGCCTTGCAATCTTTATATTGCCTACCTGGCAGGGAAAGGACTTTGAAGTCTTAGAGCCCTTTTAAACCCTGTGCTTAACAAAACATTAACTCCCTCTTTGGGACGTAATACTACCCTTAATTGGCTCAGGATTACCAAACTCTCCCAAAACCTAGCTGAGGACACTATCTGATCCAAGCCCTATACTACCTCTTGCTCTGCTTCAGCAAGAGCCAAGCTTCAGTTAAACAAATGACACAAAATCAGCCAGTATTCAACTACTTAGAAAGTTATTTCCAGCATTTCCAAAATGTTCAAATGTCCTTAAGGACCTCATAGTTGATTGGTCCTGAAGCATCTCAGTGATAAACAACAGCCGAAGGTGAAACTCGGCAATTCAAACGAAACCAGCCCACTACATATCACTGTTGATCAGTCGCCATGTTCACTTCTTCCTGTTAAACCCTCTTGTGTCAGTGTGTTTTGAAAGCTTAGCTAACCCCAGGACCATCCTGCCAAGATGACATTCCCCAGCATCCCTGGGTCCTTCAGTTTCTGCCTTACCACTTGCAACTGAGAGCCTTACAGTAGTATGACATACCTGAGCAGATGCAAAAATACGATTCTCCGAATCTTCAGAAAACCGCAAAGGCACTGGAAAAAAACATACGCAAGGGTTCAAGCCCTACCTAGGCCACAAATACATTCCTCTAACCATGTTTGTACAACATTGATGTTGATTTAAAACAACAAATAACAATCTTTTTGCAGTGCTGTCAACATGTGAAACATGGTTATCAAAATATTCAATCAGATCACAGAAAAGCCTCAACAATTTAACAATTCCTTTCCATGGCAGAGAAAGCTAGAGATAAGTAAGCTGCTATGTTTGTATACAACGTAGAATACAGATGTTGAGCTCAAGTTTTGTATTTTTATAAAAAGCAGAAAATGAATAAATATGTTTAGTAAAAAAAACACCTAATAACACTTGTTCAAAAATTATTCTTTAGCATCTAAAAGAGTGTACTATATATACTTCTGTACTCTGCAGTGTAGTGTGTACGCTATATACTTTGTATAGTGAATACTACAGACTATATTCTTTGCATTATGATGCCAGGAAGGCATCACAAATGTGCAATGAATTTCGTACTGAGAGACAGAGTGGGAGAAGTGGCTTGTACCACCTGATTATGAAATTGTCTGTTAGCAACGTAGCCAATAGTACAAATGAAAATAGTCCTTAGGTTTGGCTCAACTCAGAGCCCTCGGCTCTGGCTTGGCTGCAGAGACTCTCAAAAATGACAGAAGAATAAACATCTCTTTGTGTTTCTGTCATACTGCTCAAAGTAGCGGCTTTCTGCAGGGATTTGATTCTTCCCTAGCAGCCTTTATGCCAACAGGGGTTTTACAGCTACTTTGCTCTCCTTATATCAGAACTATAAAGGAGTCTCAATGAAAATATTCTCCCACGTAAGAATACCTGAAAGCAAAATGTAACCCTAATTTTAATTGATGGTATTACCTTTTCCTCAAAATGCATCATCAATGTCTTTTCCATTTTCATGCTGAACACTCAGAACCACGTAGAAACAGATATAACTACATACACAACTTGCTGTTCATGCTGTGCATGACTTGCCAAGGCTATGAAAATAAAAAGTGTGTGCATGCCCTTGAGAGGTTTTTTGTTTTGTTATTTTTTGTTTTTTAGCATGAAAGTCAGACAGAAAAACCTCAGTTAATCCAGAAATGTAACAGCGTACTCTAACCTTTAGCATAGAGCGAGAACGTTCTGTTTCATGACTGGGCTGAATACAGGACAAACAGTTAAATACAGCAGGAAAAAAAAAATAAAACAGATTCCAGGAACTGATTTACCCTCATGGCAGAGCATGGGAATAAATATCCTTCTTACTTCACTGTCCTCCCCTTTCTATTTACCTCCCCTTCCCCTTCCCCAGTTACGGATGCAAGGTAGCTGGGCTAGCTTTGCACATCTCAGCTGCAACAGGGTTCAAGAAGAAATAAACTGAACTTACTTGGACTGAAAGAAGTGAGTTGTAAGGGCACAAGGGAGCCTCTCTCTAGCCTGACCAGCTGGGGTCCTATGTGAGGTCCTTTAGGGTATTTCACAGGTACCGCTGGAGCCAAGAGTCCACTGAATATATTCTTTTTGTGTGTTGCTCTACGTGTAAAACATTAGCCTGAGGAGGAGAGATGAGAAAGAACGACCACCTACTGCCTTGAATCCAACAAGATCCATCTCTCTAATTAATTTAGAAATGACCTGTTCACCTAAGCCACACCTCAAGTTATCCTATATGAAATCTGTTACGGAGAAAAAAAAAATACACATACAAACAGTTTGGACGCTGCCATCCTTTCTTCTGCTTAAACTTTCACTTTAATTACAAAATCATCCCAGATCAATTTTGATGTGTTTTTCCAAGGTTCATTAATTTGAACAAAATGATTGGAGACCCTCTGATTACAACCAAGTGACACTTGAAGCTTCCTATAGCTGTTATCCCAGAATTACAATCTAGGAGTTATCCAGTACAGATAAGAATGACTGCATTGGGAAGGATAAAAGATCCATGTAGGTCAGTACCGTGCTTAAGAGTTTCCAATAGCAAGTAGCGGATGTCTGTGTTGGAGCTATAAAAATCAAACAAATAAACCCCCAAAATCAAGCTTTCAGTGAGATAATTTCCCCAGTGTATCCATCCAGCTTCCCAAAGTTGATAGTTAGGACTTCCTAGGCTCCTCATCACCTTGTATTGCATAATTCTTCTGCGAATCTGCAGCCTGCAGCAATGAGTTCCACAGCTGAAATGCAAAGAGTGTTTCCCTGTGCTAGTTTCAAACTTCCTTCCAAGCAACCAAGTAATTTTAATTTCCATTTGGTACTAAATCATAGCTTGTGAGAAATAACTGTACTACAGCTTTAATAGTTCCAGTCACCCTTTTCTGTACCTGCTTTAACTTTACTGTGTCCGTTCTGAGGTGAAGTATTCAAAAGGCAAAACTCTAACTGATGGATCGATGTGAGCGCTGTTACTTCCATAAAATGACAGTGATGAAAGAACTACCTCTTGGCCACAAAACTGCAAATATGATAGTGAAATGCAAAAGCAAGCAGTACGGCAGCTACTGGTAGGGTTCTGTTGACGAGGTGCACCTCCAAATATTTCTGGAATATACTCATTATCCTGTTTTTTGAAAAGAATTCAAAGACAGACAAATTAAGTTCAAGCCTATATATTATGTAACGTCCTGAACTGAAACAATTTTCCAAAAAAAGCTTTCCAGAACCTAAAGTGTTACTTTTTTTTCTTTTTTTATAAGTTGGTAATTACACTGGCGGAACTGCATTTAACCTTAAATTTGTATTTATCATAGGCTCAATCCACCACACTACTTCTAGATATCCTTGTTTGGCTTTCTTCTCATCACTTATTGCATAGCTGAAGCACCTAGCAGCCTAAGCCAGAATCTCACTGCACTAGTTGCTATACAAGCAGAGAACAAAGTCATTTTCCCAGTCAATTTAATGATATAATTATAATACAAGAGATAGACAGGTGAATAAAGATATATAAAGGGAATATGAAAAGAAGAAGAGAGATTTGGCACCAGAACCTCGGTTCAGTATTTCATGATTTTCAAAACTGGCATTGGTCTTTAACCAGCGTTTTGGAGTTAATAGTCTCTTTTAAGAAAAATAAAATTTAGTAACTCAAGGCTTAACTAAACAAGCTTAAAGTTGATGCAATATTAAAAATCCAATCAGACATTTGTATTTAGGGGGAGGGACAGAGCTCAAGGTCTTGCAAACTACAAACAAAGAGAAGAGATAGTGCTGCAAGGATTTTTTTTAATATTGTATTTGTTCTACTTCTTAAACACAAAGAACAGTGTCATCACTTCTCAACGAACGTTTAACTTCCATTAACATTTTACGTGCCTCTGTCTAACATTTGAGGCTCTGCTGCATGAAGCAGAAATCTTTCATGTTACTCAATATCTGGCTCTGTTAATCAGAAATGCTGGGATCAAGTCTCCCACCCCAAACCGTACTTAAAAAGGAACTCATATTACCACCAGTTCCTCCTACTTATTTCTTAATATTCAGTACTACATCTACAGTATTTTCTTAATATACAGCATTCATGACAGTTGTGCTTTCACCTGCCTGCTAGCTGCACTCAGATGGACAAGGATCCAAGCCTGTTCTCTGATTTGTCCCAGAGGAACAATTTATCTTCATATTCTGATTGATAATTATTTCCAGGATATGGAGAAAATGTTCTTTCACTGTTATCAAAAAAACTTCCTCCTTTCATCAAGGAAATGAATCAATACCAACAAAACTAAAAAGGTAAGAAAAATAACACATCTTGAATGCAGGCAAGAATACATAGGCTGCCACAGAGTTCTCCCAAGGCAAACCTTTCCTCTTTTAACACTCAGCAGCCACATATTGCAAGGTTCAGTTCTTTAGTACAGGAAGGCTGTTGCTTCTCCCCTCCTAAATACATTAATGCTGCTTACTAGTAAGGTGCAGCAAAGTCACAAGCTAGAGCCATAAGCTACTCCCTTCCCTTCCTGTGGCTGAATACATGCTGCTGTTTACCCAATGGTACAGCTGGCTAGCAGGAGCAAAGGGCTGGCTCAGGATAAACTCCGATAACAATTTGCTAATCGGACGCTGTTCACTATTATCATTAATGGCTTGGATGATGAAATAGACTGTACGCATCTTAAACTGACAAATGAAAAGAGCCTGGAAGGTATTATAGCATGTTGGCAGGAGGGACTAGAACTCAAGATGATCTTCATGCATTGAAGAAAAGCACTGAAATAAACAATGTGCAGTTTCAGTGGAGTAGCACTTCAAACTTAAGCAGGGATAATCAAACCAGCCAATAAGAAAATTTTCACAGATGATCTGGATATTTCAGATAACCAAAAATAGTCCATTAAGCAACAAAAAGCAAAACAGTGAAAAGAACGAATGTTACACTGGAACTTTTACATACAAGCTCTCCATGTGGCATGGAAACCTCCTTGTTCATCCACCATCAGAAAGGATTTGTCTGCTCTTCTATGCCCTGGGCACCACTCTTCAAGAAAGATGAAGACCACTTGGCAAGAGATCAGAGGAGGATGGCAAAAACAACAAATGGTCGGTGTAGAAAATATGACCCCTTAAGAGAGATGGAAAGAATTATATTTGATCTGTGTAACTTGCAGAAGTCTGGAGAAAAGCTGACAGTCTTCCTTCAAAGAGAAGAATAATAAACGATTTTACTAGTATTTTATGTATGAATTAAATCATTGCAGTTCTGTATATTAGTAAATGCTCTTCTTTGCATTACTTTCTCTGTTGTAGAAGGAGATAATATTTGAGCAGGTTCTATTAAAAAAGGGAACTAGGTAAAGCATTATAAGAAACACCAATACCTAGAAAGCACTTACAGAGCCTCATACAGTGCAACAGAAGTTGCAAGGAAGCACTTTCACACTTTCTGAAGAAAAAAATTCAAGAAAAACTAAATACGCACCAAATAATATATATATAATAAATAAGAATTCCTACAAAACATTTTGTTGCAACCAGGCTATAAACAAAAAAGTTTTTCAGAAACACCTGTCTCAGCAAATAGCTGCACAGTTATGTTGGCTACAGATTTTTTTTTAAGTCAGCACCATAGGAAAAGAATTGAAAAGCACTGAGGACTGACCTCAAAAAAAACCTTTTGAATATACACTTTATATACTTTTTTCCAAAAATTCGTTGCTACCTCTTTCATCAGTTGGTTTTCCTCACCTTTACTGCTTAAAGCAATAGGGAATGTGTTGTTTAGATAACCAGGCATGCACCATCAGCAGTGAATGGACAGATCAGGCTAACTGTGACCAATCCATAATCAGTAAGCTATTTCTGGAAACAGTTTGGGAAAGATGAAAAAATACTTACTAAGAATTCACTTTGTAAGGTACTTACTTAACAGATTTTGTTTCTGGAATAGTGGGAGGAGGAAAAGTGGAAGCTATCCTTTCCAGGCTCATTTTGTTATGCAGGTTGACCATGCAAGATGGTTGGTTTTCGCCCCCTAGTGTTTGCTAAGGCTAAATTGATGTAAAACAACCATAAAAGAAAATAAAAAAACTTATTTCTTTTTGTAAAACACAACCACAGAAAATATGGCAACTTAGTCTAATGTTTTAAATAAGCATAAAAACTCTTTGTCAGAGATTAGAAGTGAAGAGTGCTTACCAACTGCACTTTTGAAAAAAGACACTAAGGTGAATCATATTTGGCTTGTAGAGAGCAAATTTCAGTTTGTACTTCTTTAATCGTATGCACATTACAGTATAAAAGACCAATATAATATTTCTTTAAGAGTACAAATAAGTTTTAAGTGACATTGTGGCTGTTGCCTGGTACCGTGAATTAGAATGTTTTATTTTAATAGGAATCAACAGATCTGCAAATCACTGCTCAGCAGCACATTAGAGATGGTTGAGCTACATACAGATCCTGAAAAACAGATTACTTTTAAGTACTTTACTGCTTGAATGAACATGACCTTCAAGCTACCACTTGAAGCTTGCCTCTGCAACGTGCCTCATCTGTGAGCTGTTCCTGATACCTTTTAGAAAAGCAAGAGATTTCCAAGAAGCTTGGAATAGAAATCCACCGCTCATCACACTGCAATGACTAAATAGAGATCAGTGCTTTAAATAGCTTATTGTAGCTTGAACATAGCCGGAAAATAGTCACTAATCAATTGGACAGTGAGGTAATGAAGGGACAAGCTAACATGCCTAGAAACTATGGGCATTAAACCGGACCATTACTAAGGGAATGAATGAATGAAGAAGCAGCCCCCAAATTCCCACCATCTGCAGAACAGAGAGAGGATGTGAAGTTTTCTGGATCTTCCTAAAAGGTTAACCAAGTGCATCCCAGGCCTGAATTTTTTAGTATTTTCCTGTTGCCTTTTATTAGAAGCTCTATTCTTTCCTTGAAATAAATTTCAAACACTGTCAAGCCACACGTGTAAAACAAAATCAGCTTCCATGCTTTTTCATGAGCAGTTAACACAATGAGAGACTCTGCATGTGTTTTCATCCTCACCCACTTGGTTAATTCTGCGTAATAACAGTTCATCTTGTGGGCTAAACCCCACAAAAACGTTATATATGGAGCTGGTTATGAAGACAGCTTTCAAAGCCTGGGGGAGCAGCTGCATTCTGCTGATGGAGGGAACCCGCTGGCAGATATTCATGCCCTCCAGGGCAAGATGGGCTCCTTATCTACTTAAAGAGAATTTGTTCAGCTCTAAACAGCACACTACTTTAGTGAAGACAACTGGTCCTTCTAAAAGACAAGAAAAGAGATGAAAGTCATTTGCGAAGTAAGGCAATGTAGAAGACCGAAGTCTGGATTTCTGCCATTACTGGAATAATATCATATGCACTTGAAATATATATAAATACGTACCTCTGATCCTGCTATAAAGCTAATCTTCTCTTTTACTTTGCAGACCATGCTATTTAACAGCAAAACATAGCAACCCCGGCAGGTAAATTGCCCAGTGTTATGTATCATCGGGTATCACCTCCCATTTAGTTTTCTATAAAAGCCATTACCTAGCAGTGATCACAGTGATAAGGCAGCTTAGTATATCCATTCCTTCCTTACAGAAATAAGAACAGCCTCATGGAGCAACTTGGGAGATTCATTCGACTGGATGCTAAAGGTATGTAAGCAGACATACTAAAGTGCATTACCAAAAGTTTTACTTACATTTAGGCAGGTTTTCTCAGAATTGACAACCAAAATGAGAAAAGATGTCACCTTTCTTTTCTAACCTTGTCCAAAAATAGCAGTAGTATACATGTTTAGGATATAAAGAAGGGAGGTAAGAAAAAAAACTTGTAGAGAAAATGTTACACTTAACGAGTGAGCGAATGTCTGCAGCTATTGTTCCTTTATGTATTTAGAATAAAACTAACATAGCTTTAACTAGGCAATGCCTTTTCTGAATGATACCATACTTCAATGATTTTTAGATTAAGACAAGAAGGAAACCCTGAATCTATCTAGACTAACTAACCCTTACACAGGTCACACGGGACCTCCCTGAATTAACTCCTTACAAGTAAGAGCTCTGGCTGAGCTTGAACATAATTTTTAAAAAGCCATTCTCTTTAATATTTCCATTAATGAAGATCTGATGACAATTAAGCATTGGAAATGCAAAAATAAAATGCATACCTTATTTCTAATATGAAAGAGCTTAGCTTCCAGTTCTTCCCACTGGATGTCTTTTTTTTTTTTTTTTGCCACCAGATCAAAAACCCTTATCACCTTGTTCCCTATACAAGCAGTTATAGATTGTGATCAAATACCTGCTAACTGAAGTTAAAAGAACCTTCTGTACTCCTAATTTTTCCACATTCAGCTTATACAGTACTAACATTAAAGCTAGACTGTGAATTTTTGAAGTTGTTATTTTTATAGACTTTCTTAGTGACACAATAGAGTAGCAGATAACAATTTATAAGTGAAGCACTTTGCAAAAAGCCTGGTCCAGTTATGACTAGACACAGGGAAGGCCTTACCGAGTTTCCCTGGTTTGGATGTTTTGAGAGAGAACACTCTGGTCCCAGATCTCACAAGATCATTCACCATCAAACTGCATTTGACTACTTTACAAGTATTGATTATACTCATTGTTGTTGTAGCCCTTTACCTTAGAATTTTTTTTAATATCAGTTTGAAGAAAGCAAGGGATAAATGACAATTTAAAAACATTCCTACTGCAAAGGTATGGAATTAGACTGATGCAAACCTAAAGAAAAGGGAGTAGGTTCTCCCTTTGAACCTGTACCCTTTTAAGTTGCAACCAGAAACTTTCAACAATGAAAGACTGACATTCTGAAAAAGATATAATTCCCTTTTTTTCTTAGTTCTCAAAGCAAACAAAAAAGGCTAGCCTTTAATAGGATATTACTGAAAGTATCAGATGCTTAGCTCTTTATAACAGGTTCACAACATCCTGCAGTTTTAGATCCTAGAGGTATGTCAAAACCCAATCTTTTCCATAAAAGTGAAACTGCTCATTTAAATTGATAGGTTATACTCAAAATACTGAAAGGTTTAGTCTTTAGGCAGCATTGAGCTAATCTTAGCACCTAGCACTTCCAGAGCTCTAGAGCATCCTCAGAAGCAAGTTTACTACTTAAGACAATTTACAGATGTTTCAAACTCCTATCCAGTGTCAGAATGACATAGTTTCCTTTCTTAAATGCCATTTAAATGCTAATTTAAAAAATGTGTTTTCACCTTGTTCAATATTAAGGATTATTGGAAAAGATACGATTATATTTAATAAAGAAACTGCTGCCACGTTTGGAAGACAGAAAGAAGTACCATCAGGAGTTTGCCTCATCCACTTCATTTCATGGAGTGCATAACATTGTCCAAACGCAGAGCAAGACACGCAAAGTGCTGTGGCTGTTAGTAGTCATGGGCTCCCTTGCCATTGTCATTTGGCAAATCTGCAATCGCTTCATCTACTACTTCAGCTGGCCAACCACAACATCAGTTTATGTTCAGTATGTGGAAAATGTCGAGTTTCCTGCTGTGACTTTTTGCAACTTGAACAGGTAACAGTTACTTTAGTTGTTCACTTTTGAGAAGCAACAAGTCTTTATCTGACAAATATAAAGCAGTCAGACTCCACAACCTTTTTACAGAAACCACACAAACCAAGAAAACACAGCTCTAAGGGGTATGTGTCCCTCAGAGCTGTGCAAGAGATTTAACTGAAGAAGAAAATATGAGAATCAGGTTACGATTGATTTGATACGATAGAGGTTGTTCTTAATATTCCCCTTCCTTCAAATAAGCAATTGCACCCCAGTAAGTGAGACTAAGTCTCTATTTTTCAAAAAGCCCACTGAAGTAGAAAAACCTCTCTGCTGTTACTCTTCTATGTAAACCATAGTAATCATGAGTGTTCCTTCTACAGTGTAGCTACAGGACAGTCACATCAAAGTTAAAAGTAAAGCCAAGATTTGCAAATAGAGAAACTCAAATAGAAACTTCATACATACGTAGAAATTTCATGCAAAGCAGCTTGCTTTTTCAGAGGTGCTCAGCCTCTGCAATTCCAGATGATATCAGTGGGATTTGCAGGAGAGAAGCATCTGGCATGTCTGTCAGTCATGGGTCTAACCAGAATCTTCACTACAGGTTTCTACATTTGAAGATACTGGCCATGATTGAGATGCTTCAGATACTTTAAAAGTAATGTAACAAACCTACTACCTGCTTTTTAGAGCAAATATATAATCTAGCAACAGTGTTAGAAATATAGAAAGTTTACTCACATTGTTTCATCAAGAATGATAAGTTTTGTTATCATCCACTTTCTGCTGGCAGAATCAGCCAAAAGTCCAAGTTCCAAATATCTGGAGACTTTCTGCTTTGCTTTTCTTCCTTCCAATTGCCCTGCATAAAGCCATCACAGGTTATGTTGCAGAACGTGTACTGCAGATAAAAGTCCCTCTTGAATACAGTGGGCTGTACATTATAAAAATTTCTCAGTTCTAGTAACTACAGGTGCAGCATATTGTAAGTAAACAGTCACCTACTGAGCATGGCATCTGTCAGCTTAAGTGACAATTAAGTGACAATTTTTTCCACATCCATCTGTTCATGCTGTGCTTAGTCTTTCCTCCTGTTTTTAGTAATCAGTTATTTGTTGGCAGAACAACATCAAAGAGGCACAGAGCTACCTTTGTCTTTATTTTTTGGCTCAAATTCAGTTGCAAAGATCTGTTCCTGCCAATCTTCCTTGAGTCTGAGCATTAAGATCTATCATATAGATAGACTGATATGTTTAACAAAATAGGATTAACACAAAAAGGCAATTTTAAAGAACATGGTACTGCTATGTGTACATCTATGTATTTTGTTTTATTCTCTTTTCAGCATTTTGAGACCAAACCTATCACAACTGCACAGCCAATCCTTAATTTACTTCAGTAAGTGACAGCAATACTCTTTGTCAGGAAAGCACCTATAATACCCCATTACGGTTTTGAGACTTTCAAGTGTATTCTAGGAATCAGGGTCACCCTTGGTTTATGCCTCTGTGTCACAACCACAGAGCTCATGAGAGCTCTCTGCTATGGAGTGCAGTGCCTTAGTAAACTAGCTACGTGCAAATACTGCAAATCCACCAAGAAATCAATTTTCTGATTGATGGAACACAGTCTTTTTTCAAGGAACAGCCACTCTCAGCTAGTATCCTATGCATAAATGCAACTGCTCAGCTTGTCCTCAGTTCTACAGATACGGTTTTTGGCTTCTGCAGATGGCCAATTTATGGTTTTAATAACAACTACACACAGCAGAAATGTTGCTAATATAATTGACCAGAACTGCTGCATGAAGGGGTCTTTTCTGTATTTTCAGGTACAGAAAATGCCACATTCCTGGAAATAGAGACTATATTGGTTATTCATGTTGTAGAGATCAAAGTGCAAATATGGTGGACAAGAATCAGATATTGCCTGAGAGCAGACAACAAACAAATTATGTCGTGATTTGGCAAGAAGAGCACTGTGATCAGTCCCATAACTGCAGAACTCTTTCTTCTTCTTGCTGACAGGTTTCAAGCTCATGCTGTCATCAACCTCAGAATCATTTTTTTTCTTTGGAGCATCGTGTCTGGAGTTCTACAAGAAATTGCTATGAAAGATAATTTTTCTCAAGAGCTAAATGATTTCCTTCTTGGAAACCAGAACTTCAGCATTAAAGAGTTCACAAGGGAAAATGGGTTTTATCTCAACAGTAGCACACTGCTAGAATGTGAATTTTTTGGAAAGCCATGTTACCCAGAGGTAAATATTTTTCCTTTTACTAGAACAGTAGCATGGAGGTGAAAGGGGATATATTCTTGCCACTTGACTTCAGTTTGGCCAGTTGCTCTCCCTGCTTTCCTTTGGAGAGATGGAGAGAAGAGTTCCTGCTCTAAATCACCCTGCAGACAGCCTAGTGAGGGTCCCCAAGCTGTAAAATGGGATTTCAATCTAAATTGCTTTCTACCTAATGCCACTTCTGCATAAACTGCAGGCTTGGAAAAATGCAATGCCTCCAGGCTGTACTCAGCAACATTTTCTGTAAGTGGCCTATAACTAAGATCAGTTTAAATGGAGTTTTTGCATGACACAATTGCATAGTTGCACTCAGTTGATGGAATTAGTTTTGCTCTTTAAGACCAGAATAGCTAGGGTAACTCTACACAGAGCCCAAAAGAATTTTAAATATGGAGGTAAATACAGCCCAAACTTGGGAATTTTGGACAATAACCAAAGAACATGATCCTCCCATTTTTATGTCAGTTCTTCCATAGGGTATTTTCTGACTTAAATAGAACATGTAAACAGAAAAATCAGGCTTATATAAGATACATTAGTACCTAATGGCTAAAACTTTAAAGCAATCAATCAGATGCAATCATGTTAGCAAATGTTTTCAGTTAAATGACCAGCTGTTTTGGGGAAAAAAATGCAGGTATTGTACATATTGTACTTTCACCTATAGTATGACTATTTCTTTTGAAATGAAGTCTTCATTAAACATCTACTGAAAAAATTAAACAAGTTGTTTTCCACTATATCATTTCTATAGAATGTAATGTGTAAAAAAACAAAATAGGACCTCATTCAGTGATTATGAACAGCCCATAGATATTAATAAAAAATGTGAAGTTCTCCTTTAGATTTCTGTAGCTCAGTTCTTAAAGATGGGGATGAAATCCCTTTGATAATTTCCATTAGTTACTCCTTTTCTAAATGTAATATTTAACACTTCCTCTGGAAAAAAAAGTAGCCCATCTCTTAGCCCACTGTGACTCACTCATGTAATTTTAAATGATCTTGCTTTTATTTTATTCTTCCCCATTTTCCTTTTTTGAAGGATTTTGAGCATGTTTTCACTGAATATGGAAACTGCTTTACTTTTAATCACAATGATCTTCCAGAAAAGAGAAGAGTGAGTGTGTCTGGACGAGGCTTAAGTTTACTTTTTGATGTCAAACAGGTACAGTCATCCTAATAATGCTATACATGTGGTAATTTATAGATTAGATTTTTACACAAGCCTACAGAATGTCATGTGCAAACTTCTGTTTCAAGACTATTTCCTTCTGACTGAGAGGGGAGTTTAGCAGAAAGATCCAATTCTAGTTTAAAAATTTGAGAAGAATATTGATTCTTTCCTCAGCTAAATTCTTCTGAAAGTTGCAAATGAGTGTAAAAATATCAGTAATACAGCTCACTCACAACTGAAACATATCATCAGAGCTGTAAAATAATTTAATATAGGCCACTTCAGGATAATATCATATAATTTTAAATAAAGGCTGAGTAGGGAAGATCACATGGTGCCTATTTCTACCTACCGAATGTTGGTTTCAGTAGCAGCTGTAAGTGCTTGGTGCCAGCTAAGATCTGATCTTGGCACTGTATACAGTTTCTCATCTCATTAGGATTGTCTTTGACCAACAGAAAACACAGACAATTCAGGGAATGTCACCTATGAGATCAGGGAAGAAAACTAAAATCTAGAATGGCAAAATGAGTTAGACATTCAGCTGGGCTCTCTAGGAGTCATAAGAGACAGCAGTGACAGGTTCTGGAGACAGTAATGGAAAGTCTGCTGAAATGTAAGAGGTAGCTGCAAGTAAAAGGAACGGATCTCCAAGTTATGAATAAATGTTCATCAATGCCTTCTTGCTTTTGAAAGCAGAAGATAACAGAAGGAAGAAAAAAACTGACCGTTTAGAATAATTGGAAGGAAACCCAAATAGGCATGCAACAAAGAAAATTCAAGTCAGTTTGCTTTTATACTTTTCTTTAAATTGCCAAAGATGTAACTGGAGATTTAAGACCAAATAAAACACCATTGCATCACGCTAAATATAGCTAAAGCCTCAGATGACAAACCAAGACAATATAATTTAAAATAACTCTTTCTGTATCAGGCACAATTTACTGATGACCCTTCCCTTGGCTATATTGATGCTGGTATAACTTATGTTATCCATTCACCCAAAGAACTTCCACACTTTGATGGTTTAGGTTTATCAACACCAGTCGGCATGCATGCACAGGTCGCAATCCGCCACCTGAAGGTAAGAATTTTCTCCATCAAGTAGAAATATCAGTCTTTATTTTCTCTAATTCTATTCTGAAGTGTGACAACAACTGAGACATTCTGGAAATCAAAATATTTCTGCCACAGTCACTCCTGAGAATAACGTTTCCTCCAGCCACAAACAAAATTGCTGCTCTCTTTCTTCCAGATATCTTTGGTCTTCATAATCTATTTTACTAAAGTCAGCTTTTCTTATCTAACATCTTACAAAGTCACTGACATCTAATGATGCAAGGATATCATTATAAGGATACTGCAGCATTGTAACATTAATGTCACACCAGAGAAAGACAAATTACTTACTATATTAGAGCCTAGACTGATGTTACTATAATAGCATCTAGAAGAGCAGGTATCACTTTTGTTTCTCTAGAAATGATAACATGTTACCAGGCTGCTGTTTTTACATAAAGACAATAAGCGTCAAAATAATGCAAATTTTCCATGTTCGTATCCCATTCAGGACAAACGCTGGTATACCTGAAAAATGCACTCTTCATACACTGTTTAAGATACGTGACCCTAATTCTTCCCTTTTTCCACAAGCCTAATCACACTCACTTAAGACTAGGACATAACTTCCCATTTTACCTTGTCCTGTTAATCTGAAATCAACACATACATGCGTTTTCAAATGTGAGGATGTGAGGAACAGACAACTATTTACAGAAGGCATTTTTTTTTCTCTGTATTTGATTCACTTCTCAATTTCAGAATCAAGCTGGTGTAGCTCAGCTTGCTGAACTGTTTTTAAGGGTATTAGTGATGTTGCCCATTCTTGATATCAGGACTTTGAAGTTCTGACAGGCGGGTCAAGGCGGGCTCCGCTTCCTCGTGGCATCCTGTTGAGGTGCACGACCCTAGTGAACCAGGCTAACTGATAAAGCCCGATTTTTGCCATGTAAGAGAGGAAATGATTTTAAAAATAACTCCAAAAGCACAAACTGTAATTGCCTCCAATTAAATCACAATATTTCTCCTTATGCCTCAAACAAGCTTCCTTCAGCACTTTAAAATATGAGAAAATAATATTTAAATTTAAAAGAGAGACAAAAATTGTATCTTCTGTTACTATTACCCTACAGACAATCATTCAAGAATACCCATGGGGAGAGTGCAAGCCTGATATCAAACTACTTTACCATTCATTCTTCCAGGTATTTCTTAGGAATATCATATATCATACAATATATTTAAAGCTTATCTTGCTAGCAGGCTTCACCTATAACTGAGCAGAAAGGGAGAAGGGGCAGATCCTTGAGTGGTATTTATAGCTGAGGTTAATTTAGTTGTACTAGGATATAACTTTCATTTATTTACATTTATTTTAAGTTACATAAGCTTGTTATTTTATTTCACTTCAAGAAAACAAATAAGGTATTTGGTCAGCTCTAAACCTAGTGCCTGGTCATTAGCTGTTTTTATATTGCAGCCCAAAAATCTTGAAAGAAAAGATTATGCCTCAGAGCTGTGAGACAAACCTGTAGTCTTGAACTGGACCTCTTAATGAGTTGGAACTAAATCCATAAAAAGACATAGATTCTCATACGTTCTGCAGGGCAACATTGACCTTTTAGGTGGTTAGCAGCCACAGCAGAATTGACTGCCCAAAGTTAGACATGTTAGTTCACTACACGAACAATGGAAAACGTCTGACACCTAGAAGGGGGCTCTGCAAAAGCCAACAGGCTTGAATGGGTCTGTAGGAAACACTGAGGACAGATTTGTGCTATAATACTCCCTTCAAGAATCCCCTCAAGGTATCTTAAGCACTCTAGAAATGTCAGGATAAGTGCCCTCCTGCCAACATTTTCAGCAGTGAAAGTAATGATAATACCGTCAGCTCTCTCTGAAGCAAGAACTGGAACCCAAATCTCTGCTCTAACAGATCTTCTTTTTTTTTTTTAATTAGTGGACAAGAAAGTCACTGTCATGCTTACACTTTCCGACCCAGTGTATCTCTAAATATTCCCAAGCAAGATGAACTAGCTTCAAAAAGAAAGACCCATCAGTGAGTAATCTCTAGCCTATCTGTTTAGACAGCCTCCTGGGAAGAAGGTTAGCAGCCTCCTGGAAACTCTCTTGGAAAGGAGTATGAGAAGGAAATTAAGTGTAGGTCCCACGTACCCACAGTGAGCCCTTTATCCAGGGGCAATTCAGTAAAAGAGGGCACCACCTTCTCTGACTATGTTTTGGATGACACTTTGTTTAGAAAATCCCTGCCAGGTGAGAGGGCCAGGCAAGGGGGGGAAGGGTCCAGATCCTGTTGCCCGATGAACCGTTTGGTGCCATCCTGGCCCAAACGCTTCTGGGTGGCAGATGGCTGCACAGAGGCATTTACCATGAGCAACCCAGGAGAGGGTTAGGTGACTGCAAAGAAGTAGTTGTAACTGGATCGTAGGCATGAGGCAGCTCAGCAGAACCGAAAGCTATTAAGAAGAAAGCAGGCCTACCTGTCCGCTTTAACGCCTACACCACAGGAACCAGCTGTTGGGACTTGAAGGCATGTAGTAACTTACAACGTAACACCATTTAAAATGAATATTCTAGGTAAAAGACTGCATTCAGTGCTATCAGAGTATTGTAAAGGGGGAAGACTTTTAAGTAGTCTACTCTGAGCTTTCACTTGAAGCTATTTTCAGAGCAGCATCCCGCCACAGAGAAAAAGTTGTTGTAAGAGTTTCTACAGAAAGTGGATTAACCGCTCCTGCTTAATGCTGCAGTTAAAAGGAAATAAAACAGAAAATAACTCATACATTTTATTGGATATATTATTTTCAGTATCTTACACACCTCTCTATGTGCTCATATATAAAAGAATCTAAATGCAGAGTATAGGATAGTATAGGAGTGATTATATATCATCTTTGCCAAAACCTGCTACTCAAGAATCCTAACATTTTTGGAGACATTATCCTGTCTGACCTTACAGGGATATTCCTTAAATTGGGTTACGGTTCATTATTATTTCCATTAGTCACTCTAATAAGTGGCCTGACTTAACTTTAGGCACTTCATTAGGAATTTGTTTCTGAAGATTTGTACATTTGCTTGTAGAAATTTTTTCAGGGCAATGAGTGATTGTTATTACATCATTTTAGGTGATTTATTCCAAAAATAAGCTTTCCTAGTACACAAGCAACCCTAATTCTTTTGCAAAAATTTTAAGGATAGTAACTAGTTTCAAAATTGGGGTGATTACGTGCTTGTGAGGAAAAATAGAGAGCTTACCATTTAAACAAGCACCTTTATCAGATATCTTGGCACTTCTAAAGAGCTAAGAAATATTTTCATGCAAGAAAAAAGTCTGGGGTGAAAATTAAGGCCATCCAAAATCCAAAAGGTTTGGCATTGGCCCAGGGTGCTATCTTACCCCTAAGGTCTCCAAGCAGCTCTTGCAGAAAGTCTTGAACTAATGCTGAAACATGTGGAGTGCATTCCTATATAACATCTCCCTACTTTGTTTTTTATTTCCATAAGGAAAGACAAATTCCTGGACTTAGCAAGCTCATGTAAAAAGTGAGCCAGCAGCTTGAAGGCAGTTCTGGCTAGCACACGTAATAAAGATGCTTGCTCCAGCAACGAGCCTCATGGCTTGTTTTTTTTTTTTTTGCCCCCTATGTGCCCCTTTTGGTGTTGGTAACTGTATTGTGCCAGACTGAACCATTTTCTCTGTTACAAAATGAGATGTATGAAGTGGTATGTAGACTTTGATGAATTTACTCTTCAGTTTAGCACAAGTAGAACTAAGAGCTAGATTGTTAATTTATGTTCCTAAAGTTATTTGTTTATTTTTAAGGAAATGGAACAGAATGTGATATACAGAAGTTTTACAATTGTGTTTATCCTGCACTCTGTAAGTAATGATTTCATATTTGTATTTGCTAAGACAATTTCAAATAGCACAAATTATCTATGAATTAAAACCAAACACTGAAAGTAGTACTGAAATGAAGTACATCACAGTTCATTTAATATTCTGAAAAGAGAGACTGGACAGGGCATTAAATAGTGTCAATTAAAAACATATAATTCATGTTAGCAAAATAGTTCAAAACCGAAGGATGTAAAATCAGTTTTCACTTACCAAGACTCTTGCTTGCATTTTTGCATCTTCGTGGTGTCATCCTTCTAGCTCCAATGTTCTACTTTTTTTGTTCATGAGAGAAATGTGAATAGCCTAGTAGGAAGAGGTTTGCTAACTGGTGGAAAATCTAACTCAAAACCACTGGACTTTAAGGTTTTTCATTTTAAAAACTAAAATGTTTTCAAAAAAACTAGTATGTTTTCAAAATGCTACAGATGTAATTCATTTCCACAGGCAAATAAGCTGCACACAGGAGATACGAAGTTTTAAGTCACTACAATAGACTTTCTGGAAAATACTGAAAATGATGATCTGAGGAGTAACTTCCCATGAATTTTAGAAAGCCTCCTTTTTAACTGTTTTGGATCCCATTATGTAATGTGACTCTCCCTTCCCAAAGGAAAGGATGCTTAAAGAAAGCAAGAAGATCAACATTTTCAGTTTTTTTGGTTCTAGCTTTTTTGGATTATGTGTATGCAATATTCAAGCAAGATCTACTACTATGAACAACAAATTTTTTTGTGGCTCTGTTGGAATAACAAATTGCTTTAAGTTCACATTCTTCTGTAATCATGATCATCTTTGATAGTCTGTCATTGTGGAAACAGATACATTCCTTAATAGATATTCTGTGACCTCCCTCCCGCTCCCTCCCTCTCTCCCCCAACCCCCCCCCCCCCCCCCCCCCACCCCAAGTCCTACTGAAGGTGAATAGGACACATGCTCAGAGCTGGATCTGAGAGGACACTGGTGTTATAGTGCTGTAGCTGGTGTACCACATGCAATGCCCTGAGCTCAAGCGTCTGGTCCTCAGAGCCCCAGGTTAGGTGCTAAGTCTCCTTCTACAGAGCAGGAGAGGTTAAACAGATATCTGCCCTGAACAAGCCAATGAGGTCTACAGGTGGTTAGTGCACTTATTTTAGGCAAAAGGGCCTGTTATCCGGCCTGAAAATCTACAGCCCTGATATTCCTGGAGAGTGCCTCGTATCACCAAGTTGAGCTACCTCTTCTCTGCCAGATAGCTACTCTAATTTGCAAAAAGGGAAACCCACACTGAGAGGGAACAGGCACAGCTGCAGCCACCCCACCAGAGTAAATTAAGATGCTGTAACCAGAAGGTTGTGGTACTTACGTCAGCTTTGGGTTCCAGTTTCTGCTTCAGGGAGTACTTATGCCTTTGACATGACACAGGTAGCATAAATAGAAAGAGAAGTGTTGAAGCTAGACGTGTTGAAGTTTTTTCTACATGAATTTTGTCCAGCTTTTGCAGATTTCTATAATGCTTCTTCTGTTAGAGCATCTGCCTTGACGGAGGAGTCGTTCCTCAGTTTCTTGAATAGCGAGACCTGCAGAGTTTTATGACTTCAGCTTGGTATTTGAAAAAAACAAAAGGATCCTTCTGAGATATCTCAAGCCCAATTATCAAAGGGAGGTTGCACACTGAATGCGTAAAGTCAGCTTAGTTTACCAAGATTTTTATGTAGCTATCAGACAATAGTAAAATACAACATGTAAAACATTAACTGTTCTGGAAGCCATTTCCATGCATAGAAAGGAGCTAGGTAAATGTCAAGTCACGCAGACTAAGGGAGTTAGATATGTAATTGAAAGGCTAGCACAGAACATGGAAAGTCTTCTCTTACCCTACTGTTCATTTTGTAAGTTTCAAAAAATTTCTCAAAACTGTATGCTTTCAGAAATATTACACAAACTCTTTCTCCTGAAATTTCAGACGAGATAGAGCTACAAGGATTATGCACAGCAGGAACCCACAATTCCACTTGCCCTGTTGCATGCGAAGAAACAGATTATCCTACCACTGTCACCTATTCAAGTTTTGCAGGAGAAAAAGCCATAAAATTTATTTCTGCAAAGCTGAAGAAAAGCCCAGAATATATCAGGTAATCTCACTTAACAGTATGTCTATTAGAGAATATGATCAATTACTTTTAAATCTGCTAATGGAGTATAGGATGTAAATTTGACCTGTAAAAAGAGGTACTTGTGCCATATCAATAACGATGTCTGTGAGATGAAATAATCTCTTAGTTAAAACCAGTTAGGATTTTTATATATTAATATAAAATATAATTTATATGCTATATATAATACATATTATTATATATTTTATATATAATATACTATATTGTATATTTTATTTATTATATATAAATATATAATTTTATATTAATATATAGATTAATATAAAATTAATCTAAAGTATACTTAAATAAATTTAAAGTTTGTCAATATCGTAAAATAGATACCCCAGTTAAAAAAATAACGTTCTCAGTTAGAATCCCTGTCACTGATCTCTTAGAACATTACAGTTTTTGGAACACTTCTGCAATTAAGAATAGAGAAAGAGTAGGGTTATCAGATATTCACAACCCACTTGAGCAATCCTTCCAATAGACAAGAGTGAGATCTTAACCCTTTTGCAGATGAAGTCAGTGAACAACACAAATCAATGTTAGATAAAGTTTTTCTCCTTCCTTTCAATCCTTTCCCGAAGAAAGTGTCATAAACTATGAAGAATTAGATTTGTTGTGGCAATAACATCATAAGTTTAATATTCTTTCCTGTTGTTAGCAGAATTCAGTAATAATATTTACATTACAAAAATTATTTAGAATATTTGGTACAGTATTATTCTCATGAGGTAGCAGAACAGGGAAATGATATGGTTTTATCTGTGTGATTGAAAATGCCACATATCAAAAAAAAAGTGGGTCTATATCGGAGAAAGAGATCTTTCAGTGTAAAAACATATATCTGCAGTATTGATTGCACATTTAATCCAATAAATTATGTTAGAATTTACATTATGCATAGAACTGTGTAACTCAGTAGTAACACTGAGCTAATGAAACCTTCAAGTTCATGGAAGAAATATCATACATGCTTACACTTTATAATGCATACATGTATTACAGTTTATACATACATATATATATAATAAGTTAATGCTGGATTTCCTTGAAAACACAAACACTATACCTCCAGAAATAGAATAATTTCCAAAATTTGTGGCTAGAAAGATATAATCTAGATGTCAAAGAGCATTAAACACAGTTTTATAGACTGAATTACCTTTTGCTTACATTGTAGATGTCACCAGTACAAACAGGGATTTATATGGGCACTACACGAACACTTAATATTCACTACACCAAAATAGGGTCACAAAGAACTGTAGAAAATTTGGCTAATGAAATACCTAAGAGTAGCTCATTGTTTCAGTGACTTCAGCTTTCTCACTCTTGAAGCCATCAGTCTGCACATGCTTCCATATGTTTATACATGAATAGGTACTATACCAAGATTACAAAAATTAAATCCATTATTATATGAAAAAATATTAAGCCTTTGAAAACATTTTACCTTTGTTGATTATTTTACTGTCTATAAACATCGTGCACAACCCAGCAATTCTTTCAATTAAGCAAGCAAAAATACAGAACATTCTTCTGTTACTAAGTCTTACCCAATAGGAATCATGCCAACATATTAATGAGTACATATTCTGAGCTATAAAACATGGAGACATATTGATTTCTGAAGATGTAAAAAGGGAAAAGTTAACTATTTACCACCTTGTCGGATCACACCACTAGCAACTCATTATAATAGTAGGAAGCTTTATTAATAGAATCTATTAAAATAGGATTATTTTTATTACCAAATGCTATCTGAATTCTAGGGTTTTCACCTAAAGAGATGGAAGTGATCGTTTTGTATAGCAAATACTTCATTTTCAGCGAATATTGTTAACAAACTCATCATCTTTTTCCAACTAAAATCTGTATCTATTAAAACTACTGAAAAATAATCACTTCTTTTACTCTTCAATTTTGTGAAAACAGTTTCTGTGGCTGTTTTATTCCACAACAGTTATGTTTATTTTCTATTCAGTGGTTATGCAGATTCATAAAGATGAGCTTTCTACTCATCTGAATAATTCCACAGGTCTTGCTCCAACAGAGATGTACATTCTCTTCCTCTTTCGCAGCATGCAAGAATAAAATTAGGTAAGAAAGGTTATTGGCAGGAGATAAAGCTACACATCCAAGGACAGGACAAGGGATCTTCTGCATAAAAATTCCCACTGAAATCAGCAGGATTAAATAAGCTATTGCACATAAACAAAAGTGGTAGACTGCGGACCAAAGACACTTTCCAGCACTGTATCTGCTGTAGTTCAGGATGCTCAACACTTCCACTCTAGCTTATCTCTAAGATCCTGAAAAAGCAGGAGTTTGCCTCACAAGGTAAAACTACACTGAGTCACACACAAGCTGTCCTCCAATAAACTCCTTTTATAAGTTATTAGGACCTTTGCTTCAGTCTAACTGATTTTTTGCAACTTTAATCTCATTGTTCTTTCAAAGACACCATCACACTCCATGAACTCAGTTCATACTAATAGAAAATTATATTATATGAACAGTGATCCTCTCCGTCTCAAGTAATACTGTATGTATGTGTCATTAGGCAGAATCTTGTGCATATTGACATTAAATATCATGATCTGAACTACAAAATGACACAGCAGCAGAAGGCCTTAACTGTAGCCGAGTTGCTTGGTAAGTGAATATTATTTAATATTTATTTATTGTTGATTAATAATTAAACGAAAAAAAAACTGATTTTTTATTCTCTCCCTTCCCAAGTCATGGCCTATCTGGGTTTCTAAACAGAAGGCAATGCCTTTTATATTATAATGGCAATAATCACACACTTGCCTCGTGCTCCTTTTTGAAGTAGTCTCCTGCTGTTCCATTAAATGATTTGCAGTACGGACAATAGCTGAGACTAAGCATTAAGTGTTGCACTCATTTGTGGCTATGCAACATATAGAACTATAACAGTAGTGAAATTTAAGGGATTTGGAGAGGAAAGGGAGGAAGAGAGGAGGAGAAGCAAGAGAAAGGTTAAAAAGACATAGAAGCAGAAAATATTTTACGCACTTGCTCCACAGTAGGAGTTGTTGTGTTGTACTTGCTTTTTTTAGAATGTTAATAAATATGTTAATCTTCTCCCACAAACACTCTTAAGAATATTAATTCTGTTTTCTTAAAGTGATGAATTATGTATATTGAATTTACTTAGCTTTTGAACCCAGCAGTTTTGTTTGCTTGCTAGACTAAACCAAATGCTTAGGATGACGTTTGTTTATTTCTTTCTGCTATAGCTGATGTAGGTGGCCAGCTTGGATTGTTTTGTGGTGCCAGTATGATTACAATCATAGAACTCCTGGAGTATATTTTTACTAACTTCTGTTGGATGTGCATCTTTCTTCTACTGAAAGTGCCTGAAATGCCTCAATGGAATATTCCACCCCAGAACCAGCCAACACACAAGGAAGAAAAGAAGGGAATACAAGAATGTTAGTGGTTCATAGATGCACAAACCTAGTTGTTTCTGGAACCAGCTTTCCTTTTTTTAGACACAGAAGAGACAGTAATACCTTCCATTGTTCCCTTCCCTGCACCCTTTATCCTTCCTGCTTCTCTTACTGCCTTGCACTATTTATCTGTGTTAGACAAGCTTAAAGAATGAACTTTGGAAAGTCTCACTTTCTCTCTCCTGTAAAGAAAAATGTGATCTTTACTTAAATTTTATTTTAAAGAATTACTAATTTTTTTAAATAGCACAGCAAGTGATACTGACAGACAGTGCAATGTTGCATCTCTGACCAAGTTTAAAACTTGTATTTTGAGCGAGAAGAAATACTCCTGCCAGATTAGCATACATAACAAGTTCTTTAACCTCCAGTAAAGGTGCAGCATTGCTACATTTAAAAAAGGCAGGCACCATATTAGGCACAAAGTCTGTACTACTAATGTACCATTTTCAAACATTCCAGTTGAAGGATATTGTAGCTTTGCCTATGAGAATCAAAAATGTGCCTAATAACAATAACTTCTGGATTATATTGTCTGTTTGTCTGAAATACATCAAAAAAAAAAAAAGAAAAAAACCCTCATGAGTCTGCCTACTACTATAAATAGAAAAGTGAGAAACCTAGAGCATCTGGGTGGATGGCAAGAGGATAAACATAGCCCAAATTCATATTGTTGGACTCCAGGGATAGCAAACAGACCTGCCTCCATTCTACTGCTTTTAATAAGCATCAAAAATTGTATAAATATGTTGCAGAGTTATAAATGAATTGCTCAAAAGGTTATTTCATTAAGGAAATGAAGCTACTGACCTCACATTTTATAAAGAATCTGTTGACTGAGTTTTTCATTGCTGGAAGCAATAAAACTTCAAGATGGCTCAGTAGGATTGAGCACCGTAATTTCAATGTTTAAGGTTGTGAAAGAGGATGATAAAGATTAAAGGCTTCATCCAAGTTTATCCTGTGGGGATTTTTTTCCCTCACCGTTATCAAGCCCGTGCACAATTATAACAGGGACCATACAAAAGGTCTATCTGACCCTGCTGTCCGGGATCACATATTGGCCAACATGGAGTCATGAGAAAGAATGTAAAGACCTGAGGAGGCATACTGTGATATTTCTCTGCAGAACTCTCCCAGCCTCAAACAGTTTGTAGTTGTAGGATTCCTGAATCAGAAGAATTTCTAGTTTTGGAAGTCGAAACTAGGTTATTATCTGGCTTCTGGATAAAAACAAAAGTAGGAGAAAGATTAAACACAATGATCTAGTACGCTTTGTATTACAGAGATCAATGCGTTCTGTAGTTGTCACAATGTTTTGGAGGGTTTTCTGGTTTGTTTGCTTCTGCTAATAAGGACTAAATAAAAGAAAGATGGTATTGTAAGGACTAAACAAGAGAAAATTGGTATTGTTTCTGCTTCAAGTTCAAAGGAAATGAAGCACAGAACATGCTAAAGAATCAGCAAAAAAAGCCAGTTGCAGAAAGGGAAGGCTAAACTAAGCAACTAAACTAAGCTCTAAAGAAAGTTCAAAGGTCAGTGTTTTTGCCCAAGGTTAAGCGACAGACTGGGTCATGGTTTTCATCAGCAAAGGCTTGTGATGAGATTATATAAAGCAATTGATTCTTCAGCACAGCTAAGTATAGCAAATGTGCAGCAGAGCAGAAGTAAGGGTGCTTTTATACTTTTTGATGTATGACTATGGTTCTAAGAAAATATTTGGCTTTACTGGACAGGTAAAAATGACATATCCACACAGACAGCAGCAGCAAGGTAGTTTAACGGTTTGACAGACTGTCTCTCAATTTAGCGTTACTTTTCTGCTTATTTCTCTGCATTTGCTTTTTGCAAATGCAGCTCCACGGTCAAAGTACAGAGTTCAGCAATTTTCCCCACGCTAATAATTTGAATTTAAAATATGAATCCTAGCAATGAAATTTGTGACATGACTGGAAAAGCTACCTTGCGTTGCCTCTAAATCCATGTTTGACATGCATGAAGTGATGCAACACAGAATTTTCTAGCTAGAAACGTGTCAACCTGAAGATGGCACCTTCCAACAAGTTCAGAGTAGTAAGTGTTGCACAATGGATAAAATAAATAATCGTAGAACAGATTTTTTAAAATGCATTAAAGAAAAGTCTTTAAAGGATATTTAACATTGTATAGAATGTTGCATATAACGTTTTATGCAACATAAAATGGAGGAATGGAAGACTGGATTGTGTGGATAAAGGCCTGTGTTTGTTCAGGATTTTATATCCCCAGAGAACTGTTGTGTTCTCCTACGCACAGTATTCATTTCCACACCCTGGGGAAGCAGATCAGAGTATCAAAGTAACTCCTAGTATAAGGAAGACAGCTTCCTGATCTAACAGAGAGATTCTGCCATATCAGAAGGTGGTGGGGAAGAGGTTGCAAATAATAAAAAGGCTTGCATCACATCTTTTAAGAGGTTTCACTAGCTCATTTCCTCCCTTCTTCAAGTTATATTTCAAAGACTAGTGTTGCAATGTAAGTAGCTGACAGCTTTAAAAAGTGCCAGAAAATAAGGATATATGCAAGGAGAAGTTACACAATTTTAGCCAAAGAGACCAGCAAACAGAGTTGGCACTTGCTTATCTGGTAAAGCAAAACGAACACAGAATAGCCTGTAGAGGAGAAGGGTTTGGATCAGACTTTCATGTAGAAGATTAATTCACTGCAGTGTCTGACCAGTAGGTGCTCCACTTACCTTAGGCTTCTCCTTTTATAGAAGACTTCTCATGCATGGAGTTAATTTCTCAGCACCCTATTATAGAATTGCTCAGCAAAACCCAGGTTGGATTTTTTCCCTCTGATTAATAATATAGGAGGTCTGTAAATATTTCAGATGACTTACTCACAGACTGAATGTTACTTAGTCTGAACTGAGAAACATTGTCTTTGCAGTGCAATGTTTACATTAATTTCTGAGGTAAACTAAAAACATATCCATCCCCATTTTCCATCAAAACAAGCCTATAAAGGTATCTGTTGAAGAGCTTATACAGGCAACAGTTCTACTGTACTGATGAAGATAAAATAAGAATCTTCCTAATCCTTACCCATTCCTTGAGCCAAAACTATACAGGAGGAAAATAAGTTCCCTATAAAAGCACTCAAGTCTGATGGTAGTTTGCTGTATCTACTCTCCAGCTCTAATGCAACATTTTGCGCTGTGTGCGGCTCTGGTGCTGGTAAAACTTCAGGAAAGCAGTCCTTCTCACCTGAGTAATGGCCAGTGGTGGGATCCTATAACCTCGTGGTCTCTTATGGCTCCTTTCCAGTTTAGCGCTGCTCTGAGGTTGCTCCATATTTTGGCAGTCCAAGAATCATTGTGTGCTTCTAAAATCTCCGACCAAGATAAACTGTATCGGTGTATTCATACTGCCTGTCAGAGTACACAGTGTTTTAGAAGTATATCCCTTATTACACTATAAACATTAGTCGATGTAACTGTGTCCTGAGGTAAACACATTCTCAAGTTGACAGTTGATGTGCTTATTAAACTCAGGATACAGGAAGTATTTGCAAGCTCATATTGCAGTAATTAATTACTGCAATGTGGAAACATGACCGGGTTATAAATGATAAGCAAAGTATGAACAGGATATTACTGTAGATCCCAGGCTAGCATCACATTTTGTTGTTGCTACTTATGATCATCCTGGTCCTGTTAACTCTCTTGCTCTGCGAGTCCCTTTATCTGCCAAGTGAAGTTTACCTCAGGTGACTCCTCACTAGAAGCAAAACCATCGCAAGACGAACGATAACTTCTGAAGAGAAAATCTCCTGTCTGTCCCTTTCCACTACACACACAACCAATGCACAGAATGGTGCACCCTACCCATCCCATGTCCAAGAACAGGGGCACTAACAGGGTTTTTTTAAATCGCTTCTAGGATCAGGAGAGGTTTTACAAGCTGCAGAGGGCAGAGAGAGGTCCACACATCCATCTGTTCTTTTCCAGACTAAGGCCCTTCTGTCTCTAGAAAAGCAAGGCATTTGGCTCCCTTGAGCCTGGTTAATTGCATACATTAGTTTTGCCGTGCTAATGCTGAGGTTTGCCTTTCAAAGGAATGAATGACCCCGAGCCATTGAAAATTCAGTAATACTTCCAGTCCACTTCAGGGTCTTTGGTAAAAAGAGATGTGAAGCCCACTTTGTCACAAAGTAAGCAGGAATACCATACTTTCAAACTCACTTTCAACCTAGATGATTGTTTTAGGTTAAAGTTATGATCTTGTAGATTAACATATGTTGTGTCCATTATAGGTCTCGATGTAACTGTAGCATTAGGTTCCCTTATCTCCTTCCACCTACTGAAGGCTTGGCATTAAATAGGCATTTAAGGTAGGGTTGTTGATTACATATTTGACCATTGCTGATGTATCTGTCAGATATTTAAAGGTTGCATTTTAAGCTGTGAATCAACTGCAGATAATGAAAAGGAACAGTTACAAAAAGAAAGATTTTTGTACACAAGCTTTGAAAAGTGTAGGCTTCTCAGTGCTGCCCATGAACCATAGAACTTGCAAAAAAAATTCATTAAAAAAAACAACTTGCTTCTGGTGTTGTTCAAGTCAACCCATATGCCTCCCACTAAAGTAACCTATTTCTTAGTGCAGTTTCCATAGCTAAGGTTATTGGGAGTACCAGTTAAGTATTTTAAGATAATTTATTTCCCTGGGATAATCAACTTAACCACTGTGGAAGTCTTTGTGGGCTGTAGCTGCCAAAGGAAACATATTTGAAAAGCCTGCTAGTACTCCAGGCTAATAGGACTAGCTCTGAGCCCATGAAGATTTTCCTATTGGTCATCTGGCCTGCTAGATTTGCAACCCTTTAGCCCTGAAAGAAACCTTAACGTTTCTGGCCACTGTGCCCCAACACCAGTATAATTTGATAGAGAGCTGATCCAGAGTTCAGTGAACTCGGTGGAAATTTTCCAACCTAAAAACATCCA